GATGCTCAGAGATAGCCAACAGAGTTATATCTGGTCAGCCTTGTACCTGCCCCTGCCCCCCCAGCCTGTCTGTAGCTGCTGCTCTCAGAGACGCGCTGAAGGGCCCTACTTTATGAAATTGCTGGTGGGACAGGGTTCCTGAGACTGGATAAAAGGATCAGGCTCTGATTCCCAGGCCACCAGACAACCAACCCTCATTTAAATGCAACATAAACCAGTCCCCAGACTGTTTCTGGGGATATCGGGGACAACAAGGCCTCCAGAGTGGCCATGAGGGAGATAAGCATAGAGATGTGACTCATCCAGCTCAGGAGCACAGAGGCTGGGGTGGTGGCTTGGAGGAGCTGGAGCAAGGAGAGCTGCCTTTGTCCATATGTCTGGCAGCTGCAGAGGAAGCTCCACACCCTCCCATCTCATCAGCTGGAGCCAGTTGTTGCAGGAGAATGGCTGATTCACCTAGTGACCTTGATCTCTCAGGCTATGGCTCTCAGTACACTAATAGACCTTAACGGGGGCCCTGACCAGCTTCACCTGGGGCCTCCGCCCAAGGACTCCATTTAAGCTCTGCCCGAGGCCTTCAGTGTTGGTTTGAGCTGTGCTGTAGCAGCACAGGTCTCTAGCTCAGCTACAACCATACCTAGCTATGGACCCTGGTCATCCCAATTTACGGATGGATTTTTCTAGGTTAATGCTGGCCCTGCCTTGTCACCATGGATCTGCTTGGCAATCTCTGGGCCTGACCATCGTACATGGACAGACTTCCCAGCTTGGCTTTGGACGTGCCTCATCACTACAAACTTACCTGATGATCTTGGCTCTTGGTTGAATCTGGCCGCCATCTCTGAACCTGCCTTGCTTTCTTGCTGTGGTGGGGTGGAGTGTTGGCTAATGAGGCCCCTGCCCTGCCAGCTGCATTATCCCCCCTCAGCTCCTGGTCCAATGGCCTCTGCTGCTCCCTGACAAATTCACACCACAAATGCTGTTGCCTACCTTTAATCTCTCTTCAAGCGCTACTCCCATGTGCAGCGATGATGTCCTACTTCTGAACTTCATGCATGTAAATGCTGAGAGAAGCAGTTCACAGCCAGGCAATCTCACTTTTTAGCTTCTGCTTTGCTTTGGAGCCTGGTGGGACCTCCTCTTCTCTTGTAAGCTCTGCAGGGAGTCGTGTGGGAGTGCTGTAGCAATGGCATCCCTTTGGATCTCTGATGTCTTGTGTCTTGATTTTAGGCTTGTAGTTCCAGGAATAACATCCTGGGCCGCTGAACTTTCTTTCATTTCTTGGGGGCATGAAATTCCTAAGCCCCATGTCAAACACAGGTTTGGATTTATCTTGTTGCTTCAGAAGCCCATGCTGGGAAAGTGAAATGTAGGATCTAGCCTTTTGCTGCTGTTGGGTGAGAGCTGTGTTAACTCCCTTCCTTCATGCTGACCCTCCTGAGGCACAGATGTGTGTGAGTCATAAGCTGGACTTCTCATGTCTTGGTGGAAGCTAAGAGAGAGGGTGGGGTGATATTCGGTCTGGAAAATCTTAAAACAAATTATTTGTTCCAAGTATGTCTGGGAAAGGAGAAAAAGCCAAGAGATGATTTTGTATTTGAAACCCTAGCTCTTAAAACTCTATTTGTTTTGCGTTGAAAATTGAATTGAGGACCCACTTGAAAATATTCCCCTGGTGATCTTGCCTGGCAAAATTAATGAAGAAGCAATAAAAGTAATGCTGGTATCATATGATGCTCCTCAGCAGAGATGCTGCTGGCAGGAAAGGCACATTCATTACCTGGTATCTCCTCAGAAAGCAGTTGGCAATCCCTGCCCCAGACTTGCACCGTATGAATCGGTGCAGAATGGAAGGAGGGGCATCATCACAGTGCAGGGGGGCTCAGTGGGTGAATAATGGGAGCAGAAGGGAAGAGTATCGACAGAGCAGGAGATGTATGTATGTATGTATATTTATATGTATGGCCTGCCTTCCTCATTTGTGCACTTTTCCTGTTCTGGTACAGATACATTTAAATTAAAATTCTACATAAAATGTCCCTGTGCCACAGGCATAGGGATACTGCTTATGTGATTATCACAAGTTCAATTCCCTCTCAGTAAACAACTTGAGTAAGGAGCAATTTTATGAGCTCTGATTTTTAGACCTGGACTGAATCCTTAGTTCATCTTCCTAGGCAGTGTGTGAACAAGCCCATGCTGTGGCAGAAGAGCATTGTGCAGAGGCCTGGAAGTGCCCCGCTGTGTTAGTGCCTCCCTGTTACAGGCAGAGACCATCTGTAAATGCTTCACTTGGGCTGTTCAAAGCATCTGTCCTTTTTCCAGCCAGCACTGGTATGCAGAGCCTTTTGGGCTACCACAAAAGGGCCAGGGCAGTATCCTACTGCTGGGGTGATCTGCCTGGCCTGGGACCTTGCTCGGTTTGTCCTGTGTACTGAATGCTCAGCAGATTTCCCAGATGTAGGTGCAGGTGAGAACCAGGTGGCTTTCTTGCTGCTTGCCTATCCCTGCCTGGTATCACGAGCGGAGGGAAGTGTTGTCAGTGCCCAAGCATCACTTGGGGAAGCTGCTCCATGGGGAACGTTGAAGGCCGAAGCCTCTTGCAGCGCCGTTGGAGAGAGCGAATGGATGCCAAGAGCAGTAAATAATTTACATTGGTAAAAACACAAATCTGGGTGGTCTTGGAGTTTTCTTTCTTTCCCCCTTGATTTGCGTCTGTTCATATTTAGAGACTGTTCATGGCTGTTTATACTCAGCTAGTCCTGGCATGCTTCTTGCTTTGTCTTTGGCTGCAGCAGTGCACATAATGAATGTGCTTGAGGCTCTGCAGCCAATGCTGCTGCTTCTATGCAGAGTGCTTTGCATTCTGTTTGGAGTAGCACACCTGGGTAGTGTCAAAAGCATGACTTGTTTATCTCCTAACAGGAGATGTTAGGTAGGGAGAACATCTGTGTGTGTATGAGTGTTGGCACTGGAAGGAAGGGTCAGGAATGAACCAGAGTGGGTTTGCTAGTAGATTACTATGGGGCATGAGGAGGTTGAAGCCTGTGACCACCTCAGAGTGTGTGTGACATGTCAGATCTCTGCAGCGCCTGCCAAGGTCTTTAGTGTCGTGGTCAGAGTAATGCTCAGGCTGGGAGTTCTGATCCTTTTCCAGTGCAGGGAGGTGGTTTTAGTTTTGTTCTTGTATGTCACTATCCTCCATTTTTAATTGGAAATTAATTAATTATCAATCTTTCCCAAGTCAAGTCTGTTTTTCCTGTGATGGTAACTGGTGAGTGATCTCCCTGTATTTATCTCAACCTATGAGCTTTTTAATCTTACTTTCTCCCCCTATCTTGCTGAGGAGGGGTAGTGAGAGAGTGTGGCTTGGTGGGCACCTGGCAGCCAGACAAGGTTAACCCACCACCTCCTCACAAAAAGCTGCTGCTTTAGGCAATTCCAGCTCTTCTGCACTGTAAATGGTCTAAGGTGACTGTTCCTGCCTCTTGGAAGAAGCCAGGAGACCCAGAGGTGCTTACCACTTTGGGGTTCTTACCTGAACTGCCCAGTGAAGTGAAGAAGGTGGCCAGAAAAGGAGAGGTGGTGGGTGGGTTGTCAAAGGAAGCTGGCCAAAACACTTCCCACTGAAAATCCAAGCTTGCCACAAAGAGGAGGAGAAAAAAGGCAAACTGGAAAAAGCTGTTTGTTTTAATCTGAAGGGCTTCATACAGTCTGCTTGCTGAGAGAAGGTGCCTTGAGAAAGTCCTCTGTCAGCCTCACATTCCCTGGTTGAGAACAATCCCTCATGCTCTGTGGGCTCAGGCAGCCTCTGCTGAAAGGGCTTTGGTCATTCCAGGAGAGGAAACAAGGCCAAATGCTGGATTGGGAAATGCTGCTCCTTGTGACTGCATCCTCAGGAAGACAGACATGGTTACAATTGTGTGTTCCAGGACCTCTCTAGGTTAGCTTGGCTGCTCAGGACACTGTTAAATTGGAGCAAGTGAGCCAGGGTTACTCATGCCAAACAGCTGTAGTGATGCCAGACCCCAGCTCTGTGATGTTTTGGGGCATCATTAAGTTTTGGGCCAGTGCCCAGGCCTTGTGTTCCTGATGGTGGAATGAAATGTAGTCCCTGCCCATTCTTTGTGGGCGACTCTTGCTAGGTGCAGTGTGGCCAATGGCTTTTTCCTGTAACCCTGGGATGATGTGTTATTCCTGCTGCAGTTGCTATGTGGTCTTGGGAGCCTCTGCCCATTTGGTCCCAATTAGCCAAAATGCTGCGTCATCCCAATGCATGTCTGAATTATGGAGTTATTTGTAGTCATGTCTGTCAGAGAGGGATGGGAAGGGTGCTGAGCAGACACCACGGTTAGTCATCTAGCAGAGGGCATGGGGAGAACATCTTTTAAAAGAAGATGGGGAGGGCTGGAAATGAGATGAGCAGACTGTGTAGAGTAATGGGCTTGAGACCATTTTTTTGTGAGTGATAGGAGAGTAGAATTTAAAAGACTTGTAGGAACTAAGTCTCTATACCGTATGCCTGGACCTCTCATCCATGTTCTCCAGCGTGTGGCTGGCTGTGATGTACCTTCAGTGATTGTTCTGGTCTCCTTCTCCAAGTGGTGTAGTGTTGAGGTGACAGTGCCCTCCTCTGGCAAAATGAGACATTCGAGACTCAGGAGAGAGCTCCAAATGGGAACTGTGAAGGCAACTGCTCCTACAAATGCTCCTATTAAGAAAGCGTGTTGCTAGCATAGGGCTCTCTGAGACTCAGAGCCCTGGCACAGGCTGTGGAGCCTGCAGTGCAGGAATTCTGCACTTGTAAGGGAGTGCTGCAGCTACAGAATAAAGCTATTATCCACTGTGACAGCCATCAAGTAATGGACACCACTAAGCCTTCAGCAATGCTGAGTCCCTCATGCTGAAGCTCCTAGAGAGTGTTCATAGATTTTTCTGACTCTTCAGTGTTTCCATGTTGCAAAAATATTTGATATTATTTTCCCTCTCTTTTCTTTCAGATCCTGTTTGACCAGGCTCAGAGGTCAGTCCGGCAGCAGCTGCACAATTTTGTGAAAGAGTGAGTACTTGTTTTGTCAGGTTGGTCTTCAGTTTCTTGAACTTCCATTGCACCTGCCCTGTGTGCACTGGAAACAGAACTGCAACCCCTGCACAACTACTGAAGCTTAGAACAGAAGGGACACTGAAGGGCAGAGGAAAGGATCTAGCCTGTGTGGTGGCTGTTGCTGTCGTCTTGCTATGCTATCATTTAGTTGCTCTGTCAGCCAGATGTCTTCATCCTGTTCCCAGCTCATAGTTAAAGCTGGACATGAGGCATACTTCCAGATCAGAGCATCATCCCAAAGTCTGGTAACGTTCATCTGCAGAGCTGATCCTCTGGGTCAAACACATCCCAGGGTTCAGAACCTTGTAGAGCAGGGCCAGCTCTGCATCTTATGTGATCTTATGTTCAATGTGGAGTTTCCTTAGTGGTGTAAACCAGTGCATGCTCGCAGAAGGAAAGAACTTTGCAGGCAAATGACTTTGGGGACCTGCTGAATCATTGTGTTCTTAGCTCCCCATGTGCAGCAGAGCTGGGCCCAGGAAGTTAATTGGATGAAGACGGTCTGTACCTTCGATCAAGTCTCTCGGCAGGCTGTCCCTGCCATTGCTGCATGAGCATGTTGCCTCCTAGTGTCTCTTTTCCCCAGGGCAGGTACCTAGCACAGCACAGGATCCCACATCAGCTGAATATAGGTCAGAGAGGCAACAGAGGCTTTCAGCTAAGCAGGAGCTGGTTGCTATGGGAACTGGTAATTGGCTGTGAATCGCTCAGCATCTGTGTGGTTTGATGGAGGGAGGGGGTCCCTAGCTGACCCCCGTTCCTCATCCCTATCTTCTTGCCTAGCATTCACCCTACCCCCACTTTCTCTCTAATCATTTCTCTGATGATCTCACATTTAATCTGTTTAAGGCTGGCATTCGAAGGGGGAATTTCACCTTCATTTTGGGTCTGTCATCCTTTCAGCATCTTTGCAACTTACTCTGCTTTGCACTTCTATTGCTCAATCTCTGCACTTGCAGGCCCTGGTGCTTTGATATTTGCATTGCTTCTGCTTTTGGTTGGAAAATAAATCCTAAACTGATGATGGGAACAAAGAAACGATGGGAACTGTGCCCTTGCAAGGTGATTCATACACATCTGAGAGGGCAACAGTTACCCTCTAACCTGCCCTTCCTGTCCCAAGCTGTGAAAGTCGTTGCCTTATTCATTTAAGTGGCACACACAGGGGAGGTCAGCTTGCCTTGCCCGTGCTGTCAGTAGCCAAATGCTCTGTGACTGCCATAGCACGTTACCAAGCCACAGGCCTTGCTGAGGAAGAGGGTTTTATTAACTAACTCTTGTGATTACAGTTGTGCTGCTGCAGCCTCGCTTAAAGCTAGCTGAGAATTTCCAGCAGTATCACATGCCTCCAAGCTCCTGCTCCTTTCCACTGGGGATATGCACAGATAAGGAATCCGCTCTCTCCTAAGATGAATCAAAGGCTGTGTAAAATCCTCAGAGCCCTTTGCTGCAAGTGACCCAAAAATGCAAAAAGTGACCCTGTTATTTGCCTGTGAATGGAGCTAGATGGCCCTGTAACTCAGCAGCCCTGAGTAGTGAAGGCAATGTGAAGAAGCAACAACCACCAGAACAGTGATCTGATCATCTCTGTTCATTTATTCTTACTATACCTGCCCATGGTAGATAGCCTTGGCCAGAGGCTGATCCATCCATAAGTATCTGCAGCTTCACATGGTTTGCCACAGGGCAGAGTTCAGCATTTACTGTCTGTCATGTTCAACTGAGGCTCTTCGTCTTCCCTAGGGCAAAGAATAAGTGAATGCTACTTACTTACTAACAGTTTTTAACTACTTCATAACAATTTATAATTGAGGTAAACATCTCCCCTGGACAGAAAATAAGTGTTATATTACAACTGCTGTAAATTAGCATTGCTGCTTTCGACTCCTGATGAACCAAGGGTCACTTTTAAGAGCTGATCTTCAGGAATTGCTGTTGTCTTTGTGGTCATGCCACTCAAATCAAGTCCTGCCTAAATGGTACCTGCTATTTAATTAAAAAACTAACCAAACAAACTCCAAAAAATCTGCCTGTCATGTCTTTATAGCTTCTGCCCTGCCCCTGCAAAGCAGACCCTTGATCCCATGTGAGGTCTCCAGGCATAAATAAAACTTTGAATGTTCATATTTTGGATCGTGTATTTCCCAATGCAAATGTTAATAAATGTGCCTATTATACAAGGGAAAGAAAATAGTCAAATGTCTGGATTTTACAATCAGGCAAGACAGAATCAGCTAGAGATGCACATGAATGGTCTGGGTGCCCTAGTTGAATGCCCTGTCCCAAATTTGAAAAGTAGCTGGTTTTACTCTTTTCACAAAGTGAAATATGAAGCATGTGATTTCACAGGTATGTTCTGAAATGTTCTGCTCACCACTTATTCTGAGGACAATTGTGGACTATCTTTAGGGCTAGATGCCATCTGGCCTGGCTTTCTGGATGCTGTCCTTGGAGAATTTCCTGAAGGTTTTGAAGGCAGTATGTAAGGTCCAGTATCTTTCCTTACCAACTGCCTCTAAAGAAAGACTCTCTGGAGTTAATCTGGAGTCAGTCCAGCTGGACATGGTGGTGCTTGGTGGGATGGGTTAGTATCCCAATGGCATCTGGATCGGGATCTCTGAGTGATCACAGTGTACCTGGATGAACCTCTGCATACTCTGCTGATATCAGAGATGTTCTGGCTACTCTGTAACATATGTTTCTCACCATCTCATCTTCTTTGGGTTCCAGCGATGTCCGGAAGTTCAAGGAAACCAAGAAGCAGTTTGACAAGGTGCGAGAGGACATGGAGATTTCTCTGGTGAAGAATGCCCAGGCACCTCGGCACAAGCCTCATGAAGTGGAGGAGGCGACAGGCACCTTGACCATAACCAGAAAATGTTTCCGGCATCTGGCCCTAGACTATGTATTGCAGGTTGGTGTCTGTGCCCCCAGCTCTGACTGGATTTCCCAATACAGAACAAGACATCCCAGGCAAATTTCTAAATAATCTACTGTAGGGAATTAATTTGAGGGATGAGAGAGGGCAAGTAGGGTCTTAGAACTAGGTTCAAAAGGCTACTGGATTACTAATCCCTTGTACATTTTGCCCTCTGCCCCCTGAGGCAGGGAGTCCTTAGGACTGGTGTTACGGAGCATGAAACCACTAAGGTTTCTCTAGTTCAGGCACTGGTGTAGTTGTACTGCTGTATACCCATGTATGGCTTAGAAAAGCTCTGTAGTGCAGTGGGTCCCAGGGTTCTTTGAGCTGCCTTTTGGCATAATCCAGCCTGTCTATCTGAAAGAATAGGCTGTGCTGGGATGAGAGGACCTTCACTGGTGGGGCTGTGAGTTCTGTAGCTGATCACACCTGCTTGAAATGGTCACAGATATAAGCGGTATAAGAGAGGGGAGGCTCTTCCCCAAATCTTTAGTTGCTTTGATCTTCATAACTCTTCATAGAGTCTGGCAAAACAGTGTCATGAAACTACTGGAAGTGAGGGACTGGATACAATGCTGTCAGGTGTTCTCTGCAAATCATTGTCTGCTTCTACATGTAGAACATATCCTTAAGGGCAAATGTCTGGATCTGTGTGCACATGTGAGCATCCATGTGTGCGTACTTGTGTTCATGCTTGAAACTCCAGATGGATGTGTGTGCATGTATAAATATGCATATGATGGATGGATGTACATATATGTATGTGCACAGTTCATGCCTGCATATGTTCCAACAGTGGAAATTCCAGTTGAATATAAGGCAAGAAAGTTTTCAGAGTTATACAGCACTGGAACAGGGACTCAAAGAGATTCATAGTCGCTGGAACCAGGCTTTGAGCAACTTCATCTAATTTTGAAGTCAGTCTTGCTTTGCCTAGGCAATTGGGCAGATAACTTCTGGAGGTCCCTTTCAATCTGTATGATGCTCTTAGTCTGTGTGGAAATATGTGCTTACCTATGGTTATTCCTTTGCATGGCATTGGCATGACTCTTCATGTCTATGACATGTTCTCCTTCCTTAAAATGTATCCGAGGAGGGTACCTCCTCATAAAATGTACCTCAGTGTACCTGAGGAGGGAAATCTTAATATTTTTTTCAGTAAGAGAAATTAAATACACTGAACTTCTCTTCCCAGTAGGAGATTTCCTGCAGGAGCGCTCACTCACTGCACCCAGAATGGACAAAGCTTTTTCTTTGAATCATTCATAGGCTTCATGTCAAGTCTGTCCTTCCAGACTCTGGGTGTATTAAGCAGACAAATTCAGTGTGAATATTGATCCATGTGTGGCTCCACTAGCTGTTACCCCTGCAGCACTGAACTAGGACCATCTGCCAGCATGTTCTGTCTGATCGTGGGGTAGTCTCTGATGTCACATACTCTGGCAGCTGTGGGTAGAAAGGCAATGCTTTCCCCTTAAAGTATAAATCATGCATGTTATTGATCCTCCTTAAGGACTGCCATTTTTTCATCTAGGGCTTAGACATGAATGCAACTGTATTTGCTGTCAAGGTCACACTATAGTAAGCTCCCTCCATTTCTCCCACTGACGAAGAGGAAGATTTCCTTTAATGTGCTGATATTGGGGAAGGTTTCCCTGTTGGTTCACTGCAAGGTACCAATCTAAACCCATCAATTTTGAAGTGCATAGTCATGAACTTGTCCAGGCATCCATTGGTATTTAATTAAAGATATAGTGAGGAGTGTTATCACTTTATTCTTTCATATCTGCAAGTAGATCTTTTCCTGACCCTGAATGTCCACACAACTGAAGGGCACCCCCTCTTAATGAATTAAAACTATGTCCTAATTGCAGTAAGTTAAGCTCTCCCACCACAAAGCCCAACTCAGATACCTGGGCAAAGGGACAACTTGGCTCACAGCAAAAATCAAGTCCCAGAATTTGCCATGGTGGAATCAGCTGTGGAGGCCACTGTACTGGCAGAAAAGCCCTAGTTGGTCCTCATGTAAATGCTGCAGAAGATCTTCCAAAGAGCATCCTCCATTTCTTCTCCAGCCTCCAGAGAGACAGATCCTGTTCTGTGAATCTGTTGCACTTTTGGCATCTTGCAGAACTCTTCACCGCCTTTGGCTTTGTCGACAGTTCTGAAGTTGCCATGGTCAGACTTGAAGGGTTACCCACACACCTTGAAGAGAGCCAAAAGGGCCAGGACCCAGTAAAGCACAGTTTAGGGCAAGAGTTTTCACTGCAACGTAGCACATTTCCTTTATCAAAGTGGATGGTTTGTGGCTATAAATGGCCAGGAGGAGTTACTGCTGTGGAGTGAAACTGTTGGTAGAAAGCAGCGTTACTAGTTCCAGGGTTTTTTTGGTTATTTGTTTGTTTTTCCCCTAAACATAGTAGCCTGGGTGTGGAAAGGAGGGATCTGGTAGGCTGGGGATTTGTCTGAACTACTTTGTCTCCCCTCCTGTGTTGCTGGAGCTGCTGACCAGGTTGCCCAGTACAGAAGCAGGAGGCTGACTGTGGCATGCCTCTGTTCCAAGCAGAACTGTGGCAGGCACTGGCAAGCTGCCCTTTGGTAACTTCTACCTAGTTTTAAGTTCAGTTACTGCAAGCATAGTGCTTCTAAAGAAACCAGTGTTGCTTTTATAACTGAGTTATTAACACACTGGAACCTATTTTCTGTCATGGTAGCACGTTATTCGTGACACTGACAGCTGAAGCCCCACGAAACCTTCTGCTACATTTGACAGTTTCTTTGGTGCTAATTGCAGCACTTGTAAGACTTCCCAGTGTAGCTCATGGGGTCTGTGGGCAAGCTATTATGTACTATGTGCCATCCATTTTTTACTTTTGAAATTATATTCTCCTGGGTCAGTTCTCAGCCTCTTATTTATTTTTTATTATTTTTAAATCTCATGGATATTTTTCACTTCCAGATCCGTGGCCCAGTATCAGAGAAACATACTAGGTCTCACAGTGTTTGCCTTTGTCGCCAGTTAAAGGAGATTTGGAACAGTTTTATCTTCATTTCCAAGAGATGCTGATGGTTGTAGTCTTACTGGTAGAGTGATGAACATCAGAAATGAATACTGCCTTTCTTGTTCTTCCTACATACCTCATAGTCCTGGTTACTCCAGTCTTCCTGTTCTTCCTTTCAGGGTAAAGATTGCTTTTCACTCCAAGGCATGCTGTAGCTGTGTAATTGCATGGAGTAGGAGTTAGCACTCATTTTCCCAGTGGCATAGGACAATACTGGAGAGAGAAAGAGTCAGGACATAGCACCTTGTTGTATTGTGCCTGAGGTTTTATGGTAGGGATTTTGGGTGGGACTTCCCTGGTCAAAGATGCAGGCAGTCAACTGTGAGGTGTCAAAGATGAGCTTCTACGACCACTCTGCCAAGCGCCTTCTGGAGGACTCAAGGAATGGCCAGGTTCTCCCCTCCTCACAGTAAATGCTCTAACCTGATTCTTCTGCAGCAGCAGGGTGCATTTCTGAAGCAATGCTATCTTGCTGTTGCAAGAGGTACTGTGGTTCTTTCCTGTCCAGGGAGGAGGTGTAAGCCTGATTGTGCTGGAAGGGCCTTTTCTTCCACCCAGGGAGCCCAAACGCATCAGGGCTGGCACAGAAAATCCTGATCTACTGCTGCTTTTGTGTGGAAGGCATGCGATGGTCTCTGGGGCAGTCAGCCATGCACTTTTCTCCAAGAAAAATGGATGTGCAAAAGGTGTGCACGCTGAAAACGTAAGCCCCCCCACAGGTACCACAGTTTCCTGGCTGGCTTCGTTATGATTACTGAAAAAAACTGTAATGCTACACTGGTACCTCTCAGCCTGCTAAGAGAAATCAAAGCAGTGACCTGATAGATTAAGCATCTCCTTCATGTGATACCAAATTGCACTCTGGGGTCACTGTTTGTTGTCAGCTTATGTACAGACATCTAGCAGTGCCCTTCATCAGTAGCAGCCCAGGTCAGAAAATGCATCTATGCTATTTCCCTTTTTATTCTACCTGGAACTCACCAGAACTGCCTTTTCAGAAATTCTCTTTATGGATCTGTTCTTGAATAGTTTGTGGCTTGCTGCTGGGGGTGTTGCAGCAGGTCGTTCATACTTGGATCTCCATGCCAGACTGCTTCATGCTGCTGATGCTGAGAGTCTTATCTTGATTCCTTCACAGATCAATGTCCTGCAGGCCAAGAAGAAGTTTGAAATCCTGGATGCGGTAAGGGCTCTTTGTGTTCTCTGTGGCTGCTCTCAGTGACTCAATGAAAGGCAGCCCTCTCCATTTCAGGTTGCATGGGTCGACATACTGACTCCTTGGTCTGCCCTGGAGATACTGTCTGGGACTGCTCTGGGGGCTGCAGGTATGCTAACAAGAGGGGGAATGAAGGACCAGCAGGATACTCCGTAGGCCAGAACTGGAGAGGACTTTCAGGGGTGAAGGACACTGCTTCTACTGCATTGTGCACACAACAGGGGTTACCTGCCAGTGTGGAAGGATTTGTGAGAGGAAGAAAGGAGAAGAGGGAGAGGCATCTAATGGATCGATCGCTTTGGGAAGGGAAAGGGTTAGACCTTGAAGAGACTTGTTTGTACGTAATAAGGGAAAAGGACTTTTCACACTCACTTTACCCCAGAATCTGGTCTGACCCTGTTGTTGTTTCCCTCCCCAGATGCTGTCCTTCATGCATGCCCAGTACACCTTTTTCCAGCAGGGCTATAGTCTTCTCCATGAACTGGATCCCTACATGAAGAAACTAGCCACAGAGGTGAGAGGACAGGGAATATGGTTGATTCAGTCTGCCTGTTTGCAACCCTTCACCCCGAAAGGACATCCTCTTTCCCGTTCAGCTACCACACTTGGTAATCGGGGAGCGGTCAGAGTGTCGCGCTTGTTGGATGTTGGATGAGCCATGCTGCACTACATGGTGACAGCCAAGAGCTGTGGTTACTTTCAGTGCACACCCAAACACATCCCTTTTCTCTCTTGTGGGGACTTAGGATGTTAGCTGAGGCTGATGTAATCCCAAAGCAGGGAAGCTGAGCTGGACAGTGGCTCATAAACCTCCTCACTGACTTTTATACCTGGTGTTCTTCTCCCTGCCTTTAGCTGGACCAGCTGGTGATTGATTCTGCAGTGGAGAAGAGGGAGATGGAGCACAAGCATGCACTGATACAGCAGAGGGTGAGTCCTGGGGCTGCAGCTTGGTGCAGGCAGCACTTCTCTCCATCAGTGTAATTGTCTGGATCACAGAGGCAACTGCCATCTGATGAGGGGCCTCGCTGGGTCAGTCCTTCACAGCCTGGAGCAGTAGCAGCAGAAGTTGTTGAGATGAGAGTAATAACCTTGTGGATGCTGGGACGTCTATGTGGTAGGTAGTCCTGACCAAATGCAGAGTATTCAGCTACTGACACATCCAAGTGCACAAGGGAGAGGGACACAGACGGGACCCCGTGGGTCAGGGTACCTGAGTCGTTTTCCCAGCTCTGTCACTGACCTGCTCTCCCTTTGAGCAAGCCTTCTTTGCTACTGAGGATGTGGAGAGATTTAAAGGTTCATGTTCTTTAAATGGCTCAGAGACAGAGGAGTGGATGTAGTTGTTTGTAATCCCCAGTGAAAACAACTTGACTGCATAGCAGAGCCGCTTTTGGGGAGAGGTTAGAGCACTTCTCTCCCACCCTTTCTTCTCTTTTCTTCTCTCCTCCAGTCTCGCATCCTTCCTCTGGCTGAGCAAGCTGGATTTTATCTGACAAGCCCCATGATCTCTACATCCTGCAGTATTAGCATGTACCTTCTGACCCTTCTCCCTGCCTCTGGTTGCTTTGCCCCATGGTGAGCCGGCAGCGTTCCTGGCTGCCCAGCCCAACCAGATGTCCAGGGTTCCTGTTCAGTCATCCAGCAGACGTATGAGTGGATGCACTCCTTTGGTACCCACAGACAGGACTTGCTGCAGGGCCTTTTCTTCCTTTGTAGGGAGCTCACACTGCACTGAAGTGATGTTAATGGGTCATGGGGGGAGAGAGAGCAGGACTCTGTACTGCTGTTGAGAGAGGAGTGTGCTGCAGTGAACTTCTTTCGTGCAAGTCTGCTCCAAACTGCAGTTCGGATGAGTCTTGCTTGGCTCCTGTGACATGACATGGCTACAGCCTTGAGCAGTGTAACTTTGGGAAGGTCCATGGGGACCCAAGCAATAGAGCTGCCCATGTCAAGCAAGCTGTTGTTTTCAGCTGAGCTATGGTAACCCAGTGTGCGTGCCTTCTCACCTGCTGTAATTGGGAGTAACCACCATGAACTGGTGAGATAATAGGACTTATTATCAAACAAGTCTGAGCCTTCAGGAAGGAGGCATCTTTAGTTAATGTGAGCTCTGATTTTCCAGACCATTTTTCTGGGAATGACTCCAAATTCAAGGCTTGCAGAAATCTCAACTAATTTGTTTTTTCTTTTCCTTCTCCTCTTCATGGATTGCTGACCTGCCCCTGCAGACCCTCCTGCAGGTGAGTACCCACATGTCTTTCATTCTTCTGACATCTTAATTTCTCAGAATTAGCACTTTACTGCTCTGGACGTTTACTAAGTTCTGCCTTTGAAAGGAAAACAAATAAACCTTGCTGTAGCATTAGTGCTGTAACCTGAACACTGGAGATTTAATTTTAAAGCCCAGTTTCAAGTGAGTTTGGTTTCATCCTCATCAAAGTTGTTTTCAGTCCTGTGCTAAAATAAGATTTCAGTTCTCTCTGCTCTGGACGGTGGTCAGTCTTGGCTTGGAGTTCAGTATTGCAGTGGCAGCAGTACGTGGCTGGCACTTAAAGCATGTTTGGTGCCTGGCAGGAGCCTTTGAGGACCATGGATCTGGCAGGAGGTGAATTGGCTGCACAGGCTCATAACAGAGGGTGTTAGTGGACTTTAAACACACACACACACACACACACTCTGTGGGCACAGTAAGAGGGAGTTTCAGAGAGCCCTGAGAAATAGCTGTTCATGAACCAACCCCTGAGTAGGAATTGCTAAGGAGTCTATATCTGGCAGGCACTTGTGTAGATCAATATTTCTTAACAGGAGGACTCTAAGTGGCTGTTGTTTTCTTCCTAATGCTCTCTCTCAAAAATGTCGTAAGCCATGAAATGGAAACATAACCAGATTTGAAAGCTAATGACAGACATTCCCTGTGAATATGTGCATATGCTCCCTTTGGTTAAGTGTTCTGAGGGAGGGGTAAATCCATTTGTGAACTCTGAGTTCCCCTGGGACTCTGCTGGAGCGATGACTTCATTCAAGGGAACATGGAAAATCTCTCAAGCGCAGTGCATTTCAGTTAAATCTCTTTACGTGGCTTTGCTGACTGGACTAGCAGGGAATGAAGCAGAGGTCAGGTTCCAAGAGGGAGAACAAGCAATTAGTCTTCATCAAGATACATACGCATAGAGCTGTGGTGCTCTGTGTGCATGAGCTTGTAAGAGAGCTGAACATCACTACTGCAATTTAGGACTTAAAGCTTCTGCTTTTCAGCTGCTCTGAGTCAGAGTCGCTTCTCCCTTTGCAGTGGAGCGTGGCACTCTGCATCTGGTGAGCGTCTCACTATCTCCAAAGGGAGCAGAGCACACATTTGATTAAATGTCTTTATGCTGAGCCCAGAATACCCTCTGGTCTCTTGAAAAATTTTGAGATTTAGTTGTGCTTAATTAGAGAGCGGTGGTAGAAGGATCCTTTTTCCTCAACACAGTGTCTTCCCAAACAGCCTGCTAAGGCATGGCAGAAAGGGAGGGAATCCAGTTTAGATAATACATTTTGAAGTGTTCTTGGGGTGGGGGAGCTGTGCGGATTCTAAAGACGGGATTGAATTGTCTTTGGACAGATTTATAAAGCACAGAGGGCAGCCTTCTAAGAGCCGAGTTTGTAAGGAAGTGTTCTGTGGCATTTTGCTTTATTATTCTTTTAATGAAAATAAATTTGGTAGGAGAGAGAAACTCAGCACAAATCTTGACTGTTTTCTTTGATACTGTAATTTAGGTGCCTTTTTCCTGTGCCACCCTTTCCTCATCTTCCCTCATGGGAACATCTGCCACATTTGGGTCAGATTCCTAAGGCATTTCAAGCTGTCATTTTAACCACTTCCCTCTCTGACTTCCAAGCTCCAAAACCTTAAAGATCTCAATTTGCGGCTTCACACTTCATATGAAAATCATGCTCACTTACACAAAAAGGGTTCCAGTAAAATCAGCAAGAGGAAAGGAAGAGTCGCAATTTTTATGAGCTACAATAAATATTTGAGTTATCCTCCTGTTGTGCAAAGAGAGAGGAGAACTTCGGTGTGAAGGCTGGGGGTGCCTTTCTTCTGAATGTGTGTGGAATGCATGTGTGCAAGGACTGCAGTATGGAACACATTTCTTCAAAGGCTGAGGAAACAGTCTTGTAGCTTCCCACACTTCTCTTGTGTGTTGAACTAAACTGTCTAAAACCACACATGTAATGAGTTTGTATATTTTTGTGTGGGCTCCATTTCTTCAGATGGATGCATGAAGACACACAGGGCCTGGTGTAGGTTGGAGCAATTTATGGGAAAAATTTTGGAGAACTTAGTACTCAAACACACAGGCCTAGGAATTTTTTCCAATGGGAAATGAGTAGAGAAATGGTAATGTTTAAACTAGTCCTCCCTCGCAGATCCTGGCCTTCCCGAATCCTTCCACTGCACCAAAACTGACCGGCTGGTCTCTGAAAGTGGAAGAAATCAGAGCTGTATCAAAGCCCCTTTGCAGCCTTGTACCTATTCCCCAGTCTGGAGTGGTGGGGGAGGCAATTGTGCTGCTGGGCAGGGAGGGCAAATTTGCATGGGCAGGGAGGTTGGAGTGCCAAGGCAGAGCTCTGCCTCATTTCGTCCAGCTGGTAGATAACAAACCAGGGGCCAGATGGCACTTCAGCACCCTGATTTCGGTGGCTGCAGTGGAGTAGGGCTGGAATTACTGGCCAAAGGGTGGCTCTGCTCCAAGAGGCTGGGGGAAACAGATCCTGCTCACAGCAGACAAGCCGGGCTCTGTTAAGGTCAGGGAGGCATTTGGTGAGCATCTTCCTGTCAACTTTGCTCTGTGTTAGATGTCTCCCACTCCCTTCTGTGCCTCCATGGCAGCTGTATGATAATTAGCCCTTGCTCTAAGCTGATTGACTGTGAATAGGAGGCAGGAGGAGGGGGTAAGCAGGTGGTCCCCAGAGGCCAGCAGCCTTCCTTCGGCTAGTGCCCCTTGCCTTGGCAGAAGCCGACGGCAGAGCTTAAAGCTTCCCAAAACGGAGTAGGAGGGGTAAAGGAGAAGGGGCTGAAAAAGAAATCCCTCCTTCCCTGCCAGCCCACGGTGCTTAGCAGAGATGCTACTCTAGAGAGCGAGCAGAGAGAGAGGACACAGAGCTGCTCCCTGCTCTCTAGTCAAAGCAGCAAAACCTCCCTTGCAGCTGGCATCATGAAGATTTTCGGCAGGCTTGAATACCTCCTGGTAAGGAGACTCCTGCAGGGTTGGTTTGACTTGGGGAGAAAGTTTAGGGGGCACTTTTCCTTGGGGGAGCAAGGATTGTGCCTGTAGGACTTTGCTGATGTGACCCAAAAGCAATTACAGCTTTATTACTGCAGGAGAGCAAATGTGTTTGGTTCTGTTTCTGGGATGGAAAAGCTCTGGGGCAGGGCACAGATCTCTCTGCATCATCTGCTGGCAAGCTGCAGAGCAGGGAGATCATTTGGCATTAGGAAATTCGAGAAACAAAAGGTCTGTAAATGGGATTTGGCTGGACTGAATGAAAGCTGTCTGTGCAGAACGGGAATGTAGGTGGGGGAGTCCTCCTCCAAATTCCATCTGCCTCTGAGCATCTTGGATTGTACACAGTATATATGCAGAGGTAAAAATAGCCAGATAGAGAAAAGGTTGAAATAATATTCAGGCATCAGAAGAGAACAGAATGTGCATGCACCAGTGTCTGTGTGGAAGGGGTGTGTGTGCATCTTGAGGGAATGTGAAAATTCCTCTGATTTATGTGATCTTTAGAATCAAATAGCCAAACTAGTCACATACAGATTATAACTCATCTCCAGGGGAAGTTCTTTTCAATGCATGGATGTATACATAATGTTACTGGAGTGTGCATAATATTATTGTTAAATACTGGGCATCACTGGTTACTGAAGAGGGCACTTTTGGATAAAGCCTTTGTCTTCTATGAGGGAAAGCATGTATTGCATGTGTTGTCGCTTATCCTAAATGGTATGGGTTGAAAATAAAACAACATGGAGGGTTGGTAGTAAGATATGTTTCTCTGAGTATCTAAAAACTCCTGGACTTGAAAGGATTCACTGGTGATGATTGCCTAGTTTTGGTAGTGTTTTCTATCAGTAGAAATCAAAACATTATACAGAAAAGGATAGTATCATTATTTCCACATTGAATTGATACACTGAGGGAGTAATGCTATGGCTTTTCAGGGAGGGCCATTGCCATAGTGATTGTATTTTAAAGAATTTTAAGAAAGTCTTGGTATTTTAGAGAAAGGTTCTATCTGCTCTCAGCCAGGTGTTGTGCTCTTTGGGATAGGAATGAACCTATAAACAAGACTTTCCTGCTTTAGTGGGTATGCTCTTAGGCAGGGCTCCTTACTTAGAAGACTTCCCCCCCCAAGGATTCCAGGCTGATGAGGGGCATCTTCAGTCTTCATATTAAGTCTGTTCACTGAAGCTAGAGAGTTTTTTAATTTCATCAGGCATTTTTCTCTGCATGAAAAGCTGGCTTCACAGGAGCAATTGGAAGAACTTGTCTGGCCTCTGCAATGCAAACAGTCTTTCTCTGTGCATGCTGTGTGGAGATGGACAAGGGAGTTCTTAACTGAGTGGGCCATGAGGCAACCTTCAAATAGGGATTTTTTTTTTTTCTTTCACAGGTCTGTTTGTGCCTGTCCTGGGCATTTGCTTTCCATTTTCTGGTTTGGAAGTGTCCTCATTAATGTGCTTTTTTACATCCCTATGGATATGTCTCATGGAATGTGTTACTTCATTGTTGCTTCAGCAGCATTCAGTGTGCTCCCATGGAAACTATTGTGATGTCATTTATAAAAGAATATCTGTTCCCAGGCAGCCTCGTGTATAAACTCAGAGTGACAGGACTGAGAAGGGAAGGGGACAGTGAGACAAGATTGGTGTGATTTACTGGAAGTCAGTGAAGGAAAGGGGGAAGCAGATGATAGCAGAGACCTGGTTTCATGTTTTGGGAGACGTCCGATTTATTTTACCAATGTGCGATCCAACGTGTCACTGCTGTCGCTAATCTTGACTGCATATGCAGTTGTAGTCAAAGCCATTCAGATCACAATCCTGGGAAGCCTTTTCAGTGTGAAGCATTTTTTCATATTGCAGAGACAGTGAGCTGCTAAATGCAGACTTAATAAATCAGTCCAAATTCATTTAGAGCAGACTTGCCTACTCCGTGTATGTTGCAATGCTGGGAAGATTTTGGTAAAAGGTAGTTTATTAAAACTGTTCATTAAAATATCATGTATAGCAGGAAATGGAAGAAAAGGGGACAAGAGAAAGCAGACATGTGCACTCTCTTATCGTGCTTTGTCAAGGGTAAGATTTGAATCAAGAAAGTTACTTTGAATGTTGTAGAATGGGTGACATGTTCCTCCTCCACCAGCACCTCCCAGACATTGCAGCTTGGCCTACAAGGCTGGAAGGCTTTTCTTTCCTAATTCTGTGTGGAGTCAGACAGCCCAGAGATGGGCTGCATCCCTTCTAAGAGTCACAGAGAGACTTACTGATGTTGCACTTGGCAGGAGCAGTGTCCATCAGCCAGGACCCTTTGACTTATTTCCCAGAATTAACGGGATCAAAATCTTTTTGCGTCAATGAATAGAACAGATACAAGGACACATTAAGGGCAGGTCTGCCAGTTAAGGGGGTTCGCTGTTGCACATTTGTGTATCCAGCTGTGGCCACACACTACCATGTTTCAACACCATTGGCAAGGTGATGATCTCACACGGTATCTAAGCTAGGTTTGATCTGGAATCAGGTGGCAACAGATGTTCTCGTAGCTCTTTTTCCAGAAATTGTCCTCTCTTTTCAATGGCTGTGATAAGAAAGTTCCCTCTATGGGCTACAGCAAGAAGATGTGCCAAGGAATCCATAGTTTAAGCTCTCTCTAGTGTGCTGGAAGTTTCACAATTGCACTTGCCATGATTTTGCCTGTCAGCTACCCGAGCCATTTCTGTACATTCCCCTTTTTGCCTTTGCTTGGCAGTGAAAGGAAAAACAATACTGATCAAGGGGGTAATTTCTGGATTTTTTTTTTTTCCACCCTCCCCTTTCCTTTAGTTCATTTGTCTTTCACGCTCTCAATAACTTTGTAGCAAAGACTTCAGGTGCTTCCAAGCAGAGTGCAGTGGAAGGGAACAAAGTATCCCTGGGGATCCGTCTGCTGTGTGCCCTGGTCCCTCCCTACTTTGTACCTACTTTACAAATTTGTATCTACTTTACAAATCCAGCTTACAGCTCTGGTCAGTGTATTCTGCCCTCAAGTGCTCTGCAGTAGTTCTGTTGATAGCAGTGAAGTTGCTCAGGAATTACACCAACAGAAATATGAGCAGAATTTGGCCTGAGGATGTTTCCTAACCAATGAGAGAACAGGGAGGAAAAATATCTTCAAAGTAATGCAAACACAAACCATTCTTCCCAGCAACACATTTCTATGTTTGGACGTCAGCCAGATGGCTCTCTGTCTTAGCTGTATATGCACTTGGTGTTTTTGTGTATTATTTTCTCTTTCTAAGACGAGGCTTGGTGCAGGTTAGAATTCTTTCAAAGACTTTCAAGCAATGACTCTGTGTGCCTTCAGCTGTTCTGCTTTAGCCATTCAATTTATAGAGAGGTGTAACACAATACAGACTCAATGAGGTTAAATTCACACCTGGTTTGACTCCACTGGTTTTTAGTGGATTTACTCTAGTGACGCATATGGCCCATCTGTTCCTCCTGCACTCATCAGCAATATATCCTTCTTACCATCACATTGCTTGGTTATATAAGGACAGCTGAAGAAGTCAGGTGATTATATTTAGACCCTACTCCTTATTTTTACCTCTTCTTCAAAGGGACATCTAAGTGGTCATTTTTAAGATGTGCTTGGAAAGGTTTTGCCCTATACCTGCTGTGCACTTTTCAACAAGGTCCAGACTTTTGGATGTTTGCAATATTTATTATAAAACAGTGCAGCTTCTCATCAAATTTATAGACTTGTCACTTTTGAGCAGCTCTGCAAAAATCACACATTCGAATATCTGTGAGTTAGAGGAAAATTCCCTCTAGCCTTTGTTTGTGATATGTACATGAAAGACATCTGCAGATGAGGAACCCCATGGGATTCGCCCTCTAATGGCAAGAAAATTTGGGGCTGAGGAGACATCTCTTAATTGGGTGCCTTACAGCAGTTCCTAGTGTCTAATTGGGCATCATGCTGTCTTTCCAAGGAATGACTCAGTCCTGTCCCGTTATATCTCCTCCTTCTGTATCAGTATTATTCTTATTATGACACCTCCCAGGCAAGCTTGCATCTCTGAACATGAAAATAACTCATCTTAATGAGAGTGAAGTGCATGTTGCCTAGCAACACAGCATCACAAGGGTCTTCATATGCTGAGCTAGGAAAGGCACTTAACTTAATGGGGCTGTTTTCACTGCACTGTTGTGTCTTTGAATCAAGTTGTACAGGGAGAAATATTTGCTCTGGAGAGGGAGGGAGGTGTAGGTAGAATGCATCATTAGAGTGGAATCTGTGCAAAGAGACAACGTGCCTTAGTTCCCCAGGTTAGAGGGGAAAGTCAGGTTTCATGACCCAGTTGCTCTTGGGAAGGAGGCAGACCTTTGCCCAGAGAGAAGGAGCCCATATTCTGTGAGAGCAGCTGAAATTCTCTCTGCTCTGTGTCTTGCTCAGCAGCTGTCAGAATCCACGAGATCCCTCTGATGAATCAGTGCCAAACCTGACAAATCAGCTCTGACTGGTAGCGTAGCATAGAGAATTGAATGAGTGCAGATTGGAGATGGCATATGATGATAGCTAATGAAAATGGAATTGATAAGTCTTCCCTTCCAGAAATCATCATGCCTGCTTTCCTTGTGTGAAAAGGCTGGCGTTCGTTCTGTTCCTGGCCCCCTGCAGAACAGAGAGGTAGTGGCAGCCTCACGAGCTCACTTGACCAGTGAGAAATGCGTCTATTGCTTTATTTTGCACTGCAGACTGCCCCAGATATTGGGAATTTTTACCCCTCATGATGATAAGCTACCAGCCTTTCTCCTTAGCAGCTACCCGAGACGGGAAGTACAGCATGTGTAGTACTTTCCTGCAAACAACAGGGACAGACAAGTTTACTAGAATGAGGATAATTCATGGCTGCAGCCCACTAAGGCACAGGGGTATGCTGTGACAGACAGCTCTCCCTGAACCTTAGGATTTTGACCTGGATGTTTTTTCTCTTCCTGATGTTTTGATTAGGCTCATCTCTGTCTTGGTCCTAGAGAGTGCAGTCATGTTACAGTCTCAGTCTCTCTCTATTTGCAGGACTTCTCTTATGATGACTCGAAGGTGGAGTTTAATGTTGATGCCCCAAATGGAGTGGTGATGGAAGGCTACCTCTTCAAGAGAGCTAGCAATGCTTTCAAAACATGGAATCGGTGAGTAATAACTCATAGTTCATTTGATATTTGGTCTAAGACTCTGAACACAGCTAATGCTGCCTGCACAGGAGCACACATTCACTTTTAGTGAAATCTTAGTGATGGTTATCATCATTGGAAGGATTCTGGGCTAAGTAGTTAAAAGCTAAATAGTTAAAATAGCTAAAATGAGGTTGGTTTGATAGTTTCTGCATACAGAGACTTTTCTTTCAGGAGCATTTTGCACGTGGGTTGAGGGAGTTAGTCCTTATTCTCTATTCAGCACTGGTGAGGCTGTGTCTGGACTACTGTGTCCAGTTCTGGGCTCCCCAGCACAAGAAAGGTATGAACTCACTGGAGGTGGGTCCAGTGAAGGGCCATGAAGAAGATTAAGGGGCTTGGAACATCTCTCATATAAGGAGAGGCTGAGAGAGCTGGAACTGCTCAGCCTGGAGAAGAGAAGGCTCAGAGGGGATGTGATCTTATCAATGTGTACGAATTCCTGATGATAGGGAATGAAGAAGAGGGAGCCAGACTTCTCAGAACTGCCTAGTGACAGGACAAGAGCAATGCGCACATATTAAAAATGTGAAATTTCATCTGAACAAAAGAAGCTGCTTTTTTCCTGTGAGGATGCTGAGGCAGTGGAGCAAGTTGCCTGGAGAGGCTGTGAAGTCTCCATCTGTGGAAATACTAAAAAAATCCACCTGGGCACAGTCTTGGACAACCTGCTCTAGCTGGCCCTGCTTGAGCAGGACGGTTGGACTAGATGATCTGAAGAGGTCCCTTTCAACTGAAGTGACTGTGATTCTGCTGAGAACCTGTCAGCTGCAAGTAAGATCAGAACTTGAAGCCATGTTAGCATAACTGCCTCTGAGTAAGTCCTCCTGAGAGAAACAGTGTCTCAAGAGAGATTAATGGAGCCTTATCATAATCTGGCTATGTGGCACCAAGTCAGCTCAGAGCAAAAGAGGAGTAAGCGTCTGCTTCATTGCAATGATGTTTTAAGACCACATAAATTTTCTGTCAGCTCATTATAACTCAGGTGCTGAGCTTGCAAAGGCACTTGCTTTGCAGGTCTTTGATGTCAGTGTGTTGGAGACATGTACATTAATTGGTAAGAGAGCTAGGTTCTGTGTAGTTTATGGAAGTGACTATTATTTTCCTGTTTAAAAGCAGATATACTTTCTGTGAAGCTGTATATTCCTCTTACACTGCATCATGGAATGAGCCAGCTGATGTTTTGCTGCATCTTAGTAAATGCCAGGGGAAAAAAAAAAAAAAAAAAGAAGACTGCCTTCCACAAAAGGAAGAATGACCAGGTTCCATGCAGGGAGGGTAGGGCACAATGCAGCTCGAGTCTTGCCTTAGAAAAGCTGTAAATTTATAACAATTAAGAGAAATACCCTAACATAGCAGGATATGCTGTGAGTATTAGACCTGTCTATTTTGGGATGGGGAGATGTATGAGAGTGGAAATATCAGCTGTGCTGCTGGGAGCTGAGAAATGGCTTTCTGTGCACTGACCCTGCTCTTAATAATTTATAAATATTTCATCTGATAGGTCACAGGGATTGCCAGGCTCATATGCCTCCTGCACTAGTCAGGAGTCTGCAGCTGCCAGAGGCCTTGGGAAGTGGAAGCAAAGGTTTCATGTTCTAACCTTGCTCAATATTTGTGTGTTTAGTTTCCCTTGAGATACTCAATGGGTTTCATACAGGGTTGTGCTAAAGGATTCAAACCCTTCCAGTGAGCTTCTAATGCATGAGATCAATGACTGACTGACCTGTGCTTACTCCTCTCACATAACAGGGGAATGATACAATATTGAGAGATCTTTTACTTGGCTATGGGATACATTGTCATAGAATCACAGACTGGTTTCTGTTAGAAGGGACCTTAAAGACCATCATGGCCCAACCCCCCTGCCCTGGGCAGGGCCCCCTTCCCCCAGCCCAGGGTGCTCCCAGCCCCGTCCAACCTGGCCTTGAACCCTTCCAGGGAGGGGGCAGCCACAGCTGCTCTGGGCACCCTGGGCCAGCGCCTCACCCCCCCCCCCCCAGGGAACAATTTCTGCCTTAGATCTGACCTAAATCTCCTCTCTTTCAGTTTAAAACTGTTACCCCTTGTCCTATCACTACATACGTTCAAAGTATGCACCACAGCAAGGCTGAAATGAGCTGCTGTTAGATTTTTGGAATGAATAAACACTAAATGGTTCAGTGAACAGTTTGTGGTATGCACAAAACCTGTCTGTGTTTGTTTGGAAAAAAGATTTGAAATTATTAGAGACCTGTGAACTGGATAAGTGATTCCTTCTCTCTGAAGCTTCCCCTAGTACTAAGGAGATTCCAGTCAAATTTAGTATAACTCTGTTACCCCTCAGGCTCTCTGGTCACATGACAGTTAAGCACTAAGTTTGCACTTGGAGGAACCAGAAACCACAACAGCAGCTACAACACAGTGCATCATGGTGTTTGATTTCAGTGCTCACAAGCTGTTGCACTGGGAAGGTATTTTAGCTGAATTTTTATCAACCTTTTAGGATTTCCTGCTTGGTGTTTCCTAAGCAAAGTATAGCCTCGGTCCATAGCATGTCTGCTTTTACTGATACCACATGTTTTTGCAGAGAAGAAGGTCATTACAAAGTGTGTCAGGTTAATGTCAAGACCTGTGCTTGACTCTTGTGATAGAAAGGAACAATTCCAGCCAACTCCTTTCTCCTAGCAATGACCCTGGCTGTGAATTCAAGGGTCACTCCAAAGGGCACTTGTCCTGGAGGGAACATGACCCTCTGCAACTTTCTGGTTTTCCTGATGGCTGAAGTAACATTAGAGTCAAGGGCTCCAATTTTTCCCTGTCCCCCAAATCCCAGCAATCTTCCCTGTATCCTACATCCCAGTCATACACGGTCTGTATCCTCCCCACAGCCATCTCTGGCTCCTCAGTCCCACCCACTCTTAGCCATATCTACCCACATCTTAGCTATTCAGAGCTCCTGTAGCCTACTCATCACCTTCTCGCTGTCGCTTAGCTATTCACTGTTAGTGCCTCCCCCTCATGTGAGCAGGAGGGGGGCAGGCAGAGAAAACACCAAAATCCATACTTCAGGATATCGGGCCAGGAGCCAGCACCAGGCAGAAATGTGTGGTGGTGAGCAGGAGAGCATGGCTGCAAGGAGCAGAGACCAGAACCTGAAAGAGACAAACATTCCGCTTGGCTTCATGTGACGGCAGAGCTCCTTGAGCATGGACTGCTGCTGTCACAGCAGCTCAGAGTGATGCAGAACTGTATCAGCTCATCAAAATGGGCTCCCACATAGATGGGATGGACTCCAGTTACCTGTATTTTCCCATTTCTCCACACACGTCAAGTCCTCTTGTTGTCTCTTATCTGTTTAATATTTCAGCAATGACAAAAGAAAGAGAATCCTCTCTCATCTCATTTTTCCCAGGGCACCTAGTTCTTTTGCAAACAGAGTATGTAATACATGCTCAAAATAACATCTTTCTTCAAGCCTCTTTATGCTCAGGTATTCCAGTACCTTCTTCCTGAAGCTTAGTGATGGCCATGGCTTCCATTACTTTCCATGAAGATGATCAGATTGCTAAATCTTAGGCTGTATCTTGGAATGAGGAAGTGACTTGAGGGGGTTGGATTTAGCACTGAAGATTAAGACACCAGGGAATTACCTCCGCTATCGGCATCACGTGGACCTTCTGTCACTTGTGTTTTAATGGCAAGCTCCTAGCTGGTGATTTGTTGGCTCCTAAGAAAGCAGACTCCCTTCACACACATCTGTCCATGCTTTGGCATTGTTTGGCCTCCCATAGGCTGTGGTGGGTAGCATGTCCTATATAAACACCAAGGCGTGCAACTCATTTGTATTATTTTCTCCAACATGATTTGTACAGCTGCCAATTAGCAGGGTTGTCTGAGATGGATTTATTTTTTCCCACCTGGAAGTTTTTTCATGATGTCAAGGAATTTCTGGCTTGCTTTAGGACAGTCTGCTTGGAGAGGCAGCAGGCACACTGCATCTGACCTGGCATGTGCAAGTAATCTAATTTCACCAGTAAATGTCAAGTATGCCCACTGTGCACATATGCAAGTGCAAGTATGCCCTAACCAGTGCAACATGTCCCACGGGCATTGGATTTACTACCTGCCCCAGGACCAGTGTACACACACAGACTTCTGCCCCAGAAATCACAGGCAGCATTATGGGACTGCCCTACTCCTTTGTTTCCTCTTCCTGTCTTCCCTTCCTTCTTGCTATACATTAAGATATCTAGGACACTTGCCATCGTAGCATCTTGGTGCCAGGAGTCATCCCCTGAGGCTGTAAATCCTTTGTTTGTTCTCCAAGGCAGGGCACTGGAGAGGAGTGTGAGCTTTTGTGACATTACTTTCCAGCTTCTTGGAATAAATTACACTCTCTAAACAGGGAGATATCCTGCTCTGCCACAGAACAAACTGTTTCTCTGTAGCTCTGCTGTTTGCTTATTCTGATGTCTGTCTGTCTGTCTTTCCTCAGGAGGTGGTTCTCCATTCAGAACAGTCAGCTGGTGTACCAGAAAAAGCTAAAGGTCAGTGAGGCTATGCCAGGTAACACTGACAGATTAGCCAACTTGTCTGGTATCCTGCTTTGCTGGGGACTTCTGCGCTGTGGTGGGGAAGTGGGGTGGGACGAGTGGGGAGGGGAATTGGATCAGAGGGACAGCAAGCCTGTTCAAGCATTATTGTGCTCCAGAGTTAGATTGTACTAAGAACTGAGTGGCAGCAGATGGGGGGGTTGTGGTGACCCAAATATTCCTGTTGAGTAGAGGAAGTTGGTGGAGTCCCCAGTACGCCTGCCCCTCCATGTGCGTGTTGTCCCATGCTTTGTGTTTGTGTAACCCCTTCCTATTGCCCTGGAGTTATCTGGTGGTGGGCTGGCTCTGCTCTTTCTGGATTCAGTGGATGCTAACCAGCAGGCCTTTGGAAGGAGTTTTCTAAGAGGCCTGTTTACAACTCACATTGAGGGAGCCAACAAAGCTACCTGTTCTCACCCTTTCAGGATGTCCTCACAGTAGTGGTGGAAGACCTGCGGCTCTGTACTGTCAAGCCATGTGAAGACATAGAGAGAAGGTTTTGCTTTGAAGTCGTCTCACCTACCAAGTAAGTTTGGTGGCCAGACTGTGTATGGAACTGCAAGAGATTAGATTTGAGCAGATGCTGCCCTGGGCTATTGAATGTGGACTGGGAGGTACCATTGCCTGTACTTCAGAGTCCCTAGGAGGTTCATCAGACATCAGCATAAGTCAGATCTAGGCTACACGTGCATAATATGCATATAGACAGTGAAAATGGCAATGGTCAGACCTGCCTGGAGTTTTTGAAGCAGGAACACCTCTGCCAGTGCAAGCTTGTAGGATTAATTTTTGCCCCTTTGCCTGTCAAATCAAGGTGGTGCCCCTATTGGAATATTTATGCTGAGGATGAAGTGGAACAATTTTGACCAAAACGTGCACCCTGTCCTTTTGCTCTTTCCAACTCATTTCTTTCTTTCACAGGAGCTGCATGCTGCAGGCTGACTCGGAGAAGCTGCGTCAGGCCTGGATTCAGGCTGTTCAAGCTAGCATTGCTTCTGCATACCGGGAGAGTCCTGACAGCTACTATATTGAAGTGAGCAAAGGGGTGATGAAAGATCCATAATACTGTCTTGGAGCCCTGATAGTGGGCTTTTGGGCTGTGGCGGGTCTAGTGTATGTGGGTGGATCATTTGGAAATACTCTTCTGCCCTCCAGGAAGGGAGCTGATGTCAGTGCTGACTCAAAGGCAACATTTGTTCACCAACCAAAGTCACGCTTAAAAAGCTGGGCTGGGGGAAAGGCAAGGCTTTAAATCAGTGTTGTCCTGACATCTTCACTTTCTTGCTGTCACTCTGGGTTGATGATCGCCAAGAATTATGTTCCCCTGGGAAGAGCTGGCTCCCTAGCTGGGGCAAGTGCAAACAAGGCACCATGACAGCAAGTAGTTTGCCAGACAATGGTCTGCGTGCTGCCTGTGCTCACAGAGCAGAGATGGGGTGCAGAGCTCTCTTGTGGCAATAATTGAGATTAATGAGGCTTTACCTGTTCCCTTCTTGGACTAGCCCTAGTTTATTCTTCTTCAGATAATTCTTCCTGTCAATGCCTCTGCTATGCAAAGCTCTGGTTCACCCTGCAGTGCTTTGCAGAATCCCAGAACCTTTTTTTTCCCTGCAGAGACTGGACCGGACTGCTTCCCCATCAACTAGCAGCATTGATTCTGCTACTGACTCCCGGGAGCGCAGTGTGAAAGGAGAGACCATCTTGCAGAGAGTGCAGAGCATCCCTGGGAATGACCAGTGCTGTGACTGTGGTCAGCCAGATCCTCGCTGGGCCAGCATCAACCTGGGCATTCTGCTGTGCATCGAGTGCTCCGGCATCCACAGGTACTGCGTGCACGTGTGCTCTGTGCTGCCAGCCAGCAATGGGTTGCAAGCTCCTGGAAAAAACAGTGGAGCCTGAATTACAACTGACTATGATGTTTGTACAGAGAGATTCAAAAGTAATTGCTTGTTGTGGCACCAGTATGTGCATATGCATAGAGCTCTCTGCTATAGCTATGTCTGTATAGATAAATATGTAAGAACTGGATTGATCTTGTTCATCTTATGATGCCTGAGAAGTTCTGTTTTGAGACATGTAACCATTTCAGTTTTCCTCCTTTTGGCTAAATAGGAGTCTGGGTGTTCACTGCTCCAAGGTCAGATCTCTCACACTGGACTCCTGGGAGCCAGAGCTACTGAAAGTGAGTGTTGGCTTTTACCAGCAAGAGATGGACAAGTGGTGGGCATGGGGGGAGTCATACTTGGTGGCAGGCTAGACAAGAGAGAAGGTAGCTCCTCACCTGAGGATTTCACTCCTTCCCTATTGTATTGCAGCTGATGTGCGAGCTGGGGAACAGTACTATGAATCAGATTTATGAGGCACAGTGTGAAGAGTTGGGACTTAAGAAACCAACAGCAGGGAGCTCCAGGTGAGTCTGAGTGCACACACTGGTCCTCTCAGTCCTGTGGAAAGCTATCCATCCACACAGCAAACCCAGTACCCTAAGCTCTCCAGAAAGTCAGATTAATAATGTGACTGGCCCTTTACTGAGGGCCAAAACTACCTCAGGTACACCTGTCTTGACCTCTGTAGCTAGCCTGGGCTTGACTCTCAAAAAGGTCAGTGGGGCATTACCATCCAGAAATCTGGTGAAATATGCTTGGGAACTGGGGCTTGCTGGGTTTACACCTGCCCTGACACCTTTCAAATGCATGTAACTGAAACACATGGTGTTGCTTAGGGCTGAGCATCTCATTCCACTCAGCTACACCCTGCACTTCATAGTTTTGCTTTGAAATGGGAGATATTTTTAGGTTGGAGAAACTCTCCCATCTTAATACACAGGCCTCAGTGATTTTTAGGACTCAAATCCAGGCTGTTAAAATGACCCAGAGCAGCTCCATCTCCTTGTGGCTAGCTGCTTTGGGCAAATTATGTGACCCTGTGCACAGCTTTATGCTATTCTCTTAGGCAGGACAAAGAAGCCTGGATCAAGGTGAAGTATGTGGAGAAGAAATTCCTGAAGAAGCTGCCAAACGGGGAGACTCTAACAGAGAATGAACGAAAACCTCGGCGCTGGAGTGTGAAGAAGTGCCAGAGACACAACAGCACCACGAAAGCACCCACGGCTCGTCGAAAGTACCGCCACGAAGCAGGCAATGCATCACCAGCCATGTTGTCATCAGGTGGGAACCTCACAGGCCCCACTCCCCACGCAGAACTGTGTTGGCCTGCCCACCACCCTTTGTAGGTGTGCACACGACCGCCCTAATAACATGTGTGGCCCTGTCTTTCTCTAGGACCTGCAAGCCTGCCAGAGGTATATGCAAAAATGCTGTTGCCACAGGCTGTGTTGACACACATCTTTAGAGCCATTTCCTAACATTTTCCATCCATTTAAGGAGGTTCTTTTGGCTAATGGAGGAGATTATTACACTAGGGTTTTCCAGCAACTTCTAAGCTTGCTTTGTGCATTTTCTTTTGTATTCCAGCCTCCTGCTTTTTAATAAGTTTCAGATCCTTTTATTTTTACCTGCCTGGTCTGTAAGAGAGGCCATGCTTATGAAGGGTTCTGGCTGCTCAGAATGCTCTGGGATGACTTGGTCTGCAGTGTATCACCAGCTTTGGTCAGCTCTTTGTTGTATTTTGATGGTGTACGTGGGCATGAGTATGGCACTGGACACGTCTGGGGCACATTGGACATGCAAGCTCAGCCTGTATAAATACAGCTGTAGTACTGTCTCTCATTTGCACGTTATTAACTCTGTCTTTCAAAATCTCTCTGTGTGAAATAGCAGCTACACTGGAGAGGAAATTCCGTCGAGATTCCCTTTTCTGCCCCGATGAGCTGGACTCTCTCTTCTCCTACTTCGACACCGGTGCTGGCTCCGGCCCACGCAGTAAGTACAAAGAAAGAAAGTGTCTCTGCTCCTGGCACGCTTTACCTCCCAGCTCTTCTAGGGCATGTGCGTTGCACCAGACCTAAGGCAAGGCATTGGCCTCACTGGCGAGAGGGTAAATGTTTCAGAAGAGTGATGGGGAGTTAGTTGCACAAACTCCAACTCATTGCTCTTTTATTGCACTTATTATTTTAATATCCTATCCAGTCAGTCCCTGGTGTTTGCATTCTGGTGGATGGGATTTTTTCCCAACATCTTTTACTCCCAGGCTATGCATTCCACTGGCTTTTTTTCTGGTTTTAGTTTTGGCTTTTAATTTTTTTTTCCTTTTTTAGCAAGTCTTACTGCGGACAATTTTTCTTTTTGTGTTTGTGACGATGAACTCCCCTCATATTCCGTCCACCTTCCTCTAGGTGCCAGCCACATCTCTATGCAGCATCCGCTAGCAGGTGGCCCATGGAGTGGCAGTGGCATTGGTCCCGGTGGGAGCGGTACGCCGTTCCTCCTGGACGGAGGTAAGGTGGCGCTCTGGCAGCTAGCAGCAAGAGAGACATCCAAATTTTACTTGTTCCAAACCAAACTTCAGAGGCAATTATGTATTTTCTTTCAGCCAAATGATTGGAACCCATACGTTACCGGTCCCTTGTGGGAAAGACAGGCTGACAGGCTTTCCAAGGGCAGAAAGCTTCCGAGGGTTCCCAGCAGTCAGGTTACTACATCTGAAAGGAACAACTGTCCCTCAGATGAGATAAAGGATCCAATCCCGTACAGGTGGGATCTCATGGCAAATAGGAAATAAGAAGTGTTTGCTTCAAATGCCCCACATCTGTCACAGACTGGTTGCGTGGTCCATTATTGTACTTAGCTGAGGAGTGATAACTTTTTAAAACTTACTAGCTCAGTTTCTTGTTATTGTATGAACGTATGAGAAATATTTAAGGTCCTGAGTCAGCACAGCAGAAAATCACAGACTTTCCTATAAGTACATGTTATCTCTTGAAATCAATGAAGAAGGTTCTTCAGTGCTTGTCTGAATCAGTGCCTTAAAGGCTATTCCAGTTTCAAGGAATTTAGCGTTTATTAGTCAAGAGAAACAATACTTGGGAGATGCAGGACTTCAGAGATGCTCAACAGCCTTACCTTGCTCCTGTAGAAGAAAATAGGAGTTTTGTCACTGAGAACAGAACTGGGAATTTGACCTATTAATATTCATGGGATATGAGCCAGGTTCTCCTTTCTTGCTTTGTTGTAAATCTGAAGTAGTGCCATGCGGCCTCACTGGAGTCCCTCTTTACTTGTACTGACATAATGGAAAGCATAGTCTCACCAAGCAGTGTGTTTGCTTTCTACAAAAAACAGCAATGATTTTTCTGACAGCAAATCCAACAAAAGATAGGCATGATATGTGCCACTTTAAACCTTTCCTGTTGTAGCCTCATTATCTCCTTTGGCTGTTGAACAGTGCTGAAGGATTACTCATGAGCCCTTATTTCAGGACCACTGATTTAGAGATTGTTCTTTATCTGGGACCTAGCTGTAGCTGCTCTGAAGATTTCAATGGACAGACTTTAAGGTTAAGGTGTCTTGTTCTGTTATGGTTTTCAAGGCTTGGATCTTTAGTGCTTGCAGGCTTTCCTACTATTACTCTTTGGAAAAACTACTTGGCTCATATTTTAGAAACATTTTGTCAGTTACAAGCTGGCTTGTTTTTCTTTCTAATCACAGTCGTTTGAGGGTAGGTCTTGGGGTAGATCACGGAGACTTAACCTCTTGAGTTCTGAAAGGACAGATGCCCCCAGCCCTTACAGTTATTGGGAAGTTAAAGCAGCAAGAAGCTGAATCCAGCCAGAGTTCCCAAGGAAGCCGGGCATCCCTCAGGGCAAAAGTGATGTGGCATTCCCGTTCCCGCAGGGACAGTTTCTGCATGTGCTTCTTCCTTCCTTTCTGTCATTTTCATGACTGCTTTTGGGTGCAAACTGGAAAAGGTACAGAGTTTCTCTGCCACTGACACATTGTGTGTTCTTGGACAAGTTGCTTCATCTCTTCATGACTCCATTGCTTGTATGTAGTCAATTGTCTTGTAACATTCACCAGCTAAGCAGGGAAGGTGGGAGGCACTGTGGGGAAAGGGAAGGGATGTCTGTGAAGGTGAATGTGCCAAGAGACAATGGTTTTTAAGAGTTTGGCTTGAGATACACACTGTTGATATTATTTGGCCCAGTCATGGTCGATAATCTGTCAGAAGCAATGCATTGGCAAGTGCCCCAGTGACAACTGAAAAGCTCTGAGGAGAGCATGGATAGAGTGAAAACTGAGATTATTAGTGGTAAAAGCAGAGTGGTGTCTTCATTTTCTTATGACACTGCATAACCTGCTGCAAAGCTGTCTCTGCTGCTGCTCCGCTCCAGTCTCCGTCACGGCGTCCCTCATGGATTGCAGCAAGGGATGTCCTCAGCAGTCCAAAATACCATGGCAATGTTGGAGCATCCCTGCATGAAGGGCAGCGTGGGGACACGGACACCATAAGGCTTTGCAATTTTTCCTTGGGCAGTTTTATTGAGTGGGGCGAAATGGGCTAGCAGTCCCCCTCTCCCTTGCCAGCAGTGCCCGGTGCAATGTGTGTGTGACATTCTGCGCAGCCCTTTTCCCCTGTGGTCTCAGCTGTGCCTGGTACTGGAATGCCAGTGTATTAAATTGGGCTTGGTTTGTCTTCTGTTGGCCCTGCAGGTCTGAGCAGTGACAGTGGACTTGGAGGAAGCACAGATGGCAGCACTGATATCCTGGTGTTTGGCTCTGTGGTGGACAGTGTGACAGAGGAAGGTGGGTGTCACAGGCTGCTGAAGTGTGGGGAGGTGGCTAGTGGATGGTCAGGACTGTCTGGTGCCAAGAACCATAAGAAACTGGAAATGTGAAGCTTTTGGGTCATCTCTCTCCATCCTTTTCTGCCTCTTAGAGTGCGAGGTGTCAGAGGAGTCGAGCGGTGAGGCAGAGATTGAACAGGAGGCATCAGATTTGGAGGACCTGAGGGAGCTGCATCCTGGCTTGTTGATCTACAAGGCAGCACAAGCCCGAAACCTGCCTCTGATGGCAGAAGCACTTGCCCATGGTGCCGAGATCAACTGGGTGAATGATGAAGATGAAAACAAAACTCCTCTGATTCAAGCTGTGATGGGGGTACGTTGTGCTAGTGGCTGGGAGGCCACATTTGGGAATGTGAGGTCTCGACTCTAGTTCAGAGTGCACCAGAAATGGGCAGCTTCCAGCCTAGTACTTGCTCATGCATCCTCTTGATACTGCTGGCTGGATTTATTTAGAAATATCCCTTTACCTTGCTAGGGCTCCTTGATAGCCTGTGAATTCCTGCTGCAGAATGGGGCAGATGTTAACCAAAGAGATATCCGAGGCCGAGCTCCCTTGCATCACGCCACGTACCTGGGACATACTGGGTAAGTTCTTTGCACGTTGCTGTGACGTACTCCACCACCCTTGGGATTGAGATTCACTGTTAACGCTCACAGGGTGAGGCGGGCAGGGGAGCTGGGTTTTGGTGAATTGGTTATTTGCAAAACATGCCTTTTTACTATCACATCAACAACGTGATTGTCTTAAGGGTAATTACCCCCCCGTGATGATATGTGGGGGGCAGTTGGGCCCCTGTACACCCACCCCTCTCTCCATGCCACTGCAGGACTTCCTGATTTAGACCAATATAAGTGAAGCTGTGCCTGCCTGTGGGAGGACAGTGCCCTCTGCCCGTTTTGGCTGAGGGGTGGAGGAGCTGGAATTTCTGCCCTGACGGTCTTTTCTTTCCCTTCTACAGTCAGGTCTGCTTGTTCCTCAAGCGAGGGGCAAATCAGCATGCGGTGGATGGCGATGGGCAGGACCCGCTCAATATTGCTGTCCAGGCAGCCAACGCAGACATAGTCACCTTGTAAGTGCAGCCAGGACTTCCCAGCGCGCACGTACAGGGACGCTGCCTGTAAATAGGGAAGGAATAACCAAACCTCTCTCCCTTGTGCTTTCTCTGTTTTGCTCTAGGCTGCGTCTGGCTCGAATGAATGAGGAAATGCGAGAAGCAGAGGGTCCCTTTGGACAACCAGGTCAATATCCCAGCAACAGCCCTACTGAGCTGCAATACAGGAAGTGTATACAGGAATTCATCAGCCTTAATATAGATGAGTGTTAGTGACAACTCCCCCACCTCCCCTTTTGCTGTCTTGAAGTTGGGCTGAATTTCTAGAAGCCCTGAGAGCCCCATCCTTGGTATATTGGTGTTTCTTGCAGATTGGTCTGTTTTTGATGCCTGCACATATAAGTTGAGATGCACACAGGAAGGAAAAGGGGTCTTTCCTGTTAGCATTAAGTTCTCATGCTTGGCTACCGGATGGTTGATTATGTGTAGGAGACTCCTAGGGCATAACCACAGACCATGGCATGTAGACTTGAGTGTGTGAAAAGTATGGGAGACGAGTTTAGCATTTAAAAAAAAAAAAAAAAAAAAAAAAAAAAAGGAAAGAGAAAAGGAAACCCTCTATCACCAGGAGAAACCCACCAACAATACGATCAGATGAACCTGTCTCTGCTTCAGTGTCAGTGTAGTTACTGTGCACTGAGTTCTCGTCTGAACAGTTTGTTTGGAAGGGATTCTGACGTGGAGCCCTCTGTCCTGGCAGCGTGACCAGCAGCCTGCTCTCTCATGGAACTGCTGCAGTGTCTGGGAGCTGCTGGGGCCAGTTTAGAAAACTAAAAGATGACCTCTAAGTCAGGAACAGACTGTTTTGCGGGGCAGAGATATTTTGCTCCCGAAGGCACAACAGAAGGGGTAGGATTGAGAGTGATGGCTACTCACCTTAATTGCTCTCAGGACTATACCAGCCACGCTCCCCTTTTTTTGCCTTTGGTATTTAGCTGGTCAAAGCCATAGCTCACTTGCTTCCTGGGCCAAGATGCAATCTGCACAGTGTTACGGAAGCGGCAGTGCTAATTTTTTGAGGCTGGGAGAAGCTTGTCGCTGGCGATGGGCTTTGTGTCAGGGAAGAAAAGCCACATCCAACTCCCACTGCCTAAATGTCTGGCTGCACGATGCAATTTGACTTTGGTCCAGTTTGTTTCTTGGTCACTTCAGATTTCTGACTTAGCATCTCTGTGAAAGAGACTTCTACTTGCATGTGTACCCCTCTGTGCTCTCCCCCCGCACGCTGAAGCATGTGAGTAGGGCATCTCAGCAGCTGGCCCAGGGGCTTTTGAGTTCCCCAATTCCAATGACCGGCAGAATCTTCTTTTTGTTTCTTCCCTCCTTCTTGTATTATTCTTTGCTGGGAGTGGGGGAACGTGTTTCTACTTAGAGCACTTTGTTGCTATGTTTATGGTCTGTGTTACAGGGATCATGCTACGGCAGCTCTGCCGAGGTGCTGCAGCCATGTAATCCTGTCTCGGGAGAGCTTGCAGAGCACAAGTACCACTGGCACGTTGTCCTCGGGCTGGCAGTTTGGATGCCAAGCTGAGGTGTGCTCCTGTAAGAGCCTCTTCAAAATGCCCTGAACTGCAAGTGACATCTGAGTTTTTCAGGACTAGTGGGTGGCAGTCCACGACTGGTATTTAGCCTGCCTGGGCACCTAGGCTGCTGGCTCTGGGGTTGGGCCATAGTGCCTTATGGATAGTGCTGGGATCTTGAAGGGATCAGGATCTCTCAAGGAATGCAAGAATACCAGGCAGAGTTCCCCATCCTCCTGCATCACATCAGCAGTGAGACACAATCATGCTATTTTTCATCCAATACATGTTTGAACAACTTTACTTTTTTTTTTTTTTTTTTTTGTGCATACTGGCTGCTGTTGTGCTGCAGCCCTTAGTGGATGAAACCTTTGCAGGTTTGTTTCTGTTGATATAATTGTGTCCTCAGATACTGAAGCGACAGAGATCCAGCTCTTCACACAAGATACTGCCCTCAGAGACTGAATCAACAGCACTCAGTGTTCACCCACATGTCTAAAAGTGGAACAACAAAGAAACTCCACTTAGTGTGTCTCTAGTAGGGTCCTCTCAGTTCAAGAGAGAGTCCCTGCTTCCTTAGGGAAGTGCTATCGCAAGTTTTTGCTGCAGCCAGACCACAGTTTTCTGGGTCTTGAAGTCCATCTTTGTCTTGTCACTTCCTCATTCTTGTTCCCTTTGGAGCTTTGGGATGCTCAGCACCGAGTGCTGTTTTGATCTCGATCCCAGCTGTCTGAAATGGTCCTGGTGACTGCGCTGAAACTGCTGCGGAGCAACAGCTGTGCAAAATCTGGCCCCAGGGCCTTTTGCGCTTCCCTAAATAATAAATGATCTCCTTCCACCAATTTTGGAAAAGAAAAATTAACAAGATTGGCCCCATCAGCCTTTTTAACATTGTCAGTGCCTTTCACGGCACTTTCTCCATCGCCCTGCTCCCAGGAGGCCAGTGAACCTGCCGACTCAGCACGCTGATGGCTTGCAGGGGGGAGCGCACTGTGCAGACTTGTGTTCTGCCTACTTCAGTGCCTGGTCTGGAACTTTCCTGTAGTCTTTGACCAGGCAGTGCTCCCTCTGAACTCTTCTCTGAGGAGAAGCTGTAGGACCCGCCCTTAAGAGTTGGCAGAGGGCAGGTCACTTGGTCTGTACTCTTATTCTGCTCAGCTCTGGCACCCTCAGGATTGATTCAGGTCTGCGTGTGGGATGAGGCAGTGTGGCATAAAATGCCATCATCGCTGCAGTTCGGCTTCAGAGGAGCGCTAGGATATAGAAATCCTTACAAATTTCTTTGAGGTAGGGCCAGTTCTGATTGTAGCTTCCACATGTGTTCTGACTGTATCATACACTGCTTAAGTGATATCAAATGAAGGCAGATGTGCACCGTGTGTAGCTGTTGCTGCAGTGCTGCTACATGGTCTCCTTCTGTTGGCATTTGATATGCCCCAGGTTAAATATCTTTCTTCCTGATACCTGTGTGAAGGTACAGCCAGCATCGCTGCCCACTCAGTGGCATTACAGAAGGTTCCCATCTTTACAGCCTCACAGAGCTTCATCTTTTGGTCCTTTGCATTGGACTTTGTCTTCTTCCTGATCCGAGTCACCCTAGATTTAAATGGGCTTCCCCACGGAGCAGGGTGGTGCCTTCACTTGTGTGCCAGTTGACACCCCTTCCTTGTCAGCTGAGCCCTTGTACCCTGCAACTGGTGGTAGAGTTACTGTCAGTCTGAGTGGGGTCAGGAGCAAATCTGTAGTCTTACAAGACAGTGCGAAATGCCCTGCAGAGCTCAGATGTCGGGTCAAGTGGGTGGTGCTGAGCCTGCTTGCGACACAGCAAAGCCCTGAAGCACTTCGGCAGGATGGTGCTGTGCCTCTGGTTACATCGCCCAGGTCGCCCCGCGGCCTCCCGATGGCACTTGGGGTGCTGAAATCCAGCCAAGAGCTCACTCTGCTTCCCGGGCTAGGAACTGAGAGAGTCTGTGATGAATTCTCTTTGCTAATCCTATCCCATTTTATACCGATCTGCATCGATTTAGACATTGGTCAGTCCCCTCAAGCTGTGCCCTTTCCTGGAGGAAGGCCACACTGAATCAAAGCTGGCATCTTTCAGGGTACTTCTGAGATCTTGACAGTGAAAGAGATGTTTCACCACTGCCATGGTCCTACTCCGTTAATGAATTGCAGCATGGTCATTGTCTAGCAATGTTTTTTACATGTACAGCAACTTAAAACACCCCAAATGGTTTTACCAGCTTTTTATGAGAAAACAGAAATATGACTGATCCTTTCTGTAAGCCAGTGAGAACTGGAGACATGGCTTCCACTTTGGGTCATTTTATTTCACAGTTGGCATTAGTGGCTCATGAGAACAATACAAAAATCATGTACACTTAGGTGCATTGAAGCTCCAACTCACTGCTGAAGTACATGAAGTTAAAGTGTATGTAAATACTGATGCAAAAAGCAGTGTCTTGCAAGACAATTTATCTATTTAACATGTATTGGTACTTTATTTAGATTCAATGTATAAAGCAACTTTGTGCACTTTTCCTACATACAGTATTGGGGGGGGTTTATGTTCTTTTGTTATGGATTTTGTGCTGTCTTTTTTAATCAGTGAAATTGTTAAATATTTAATTTATTATTGATGTGCCCAGAGGACTAGTGCAATTTTTATTCAATACAGTTTGTCTGTATTTAATGTCAGGATTTTTTTGTAGCATTGTTAGGGAATATTTTTCAAAGCCTACCTTTTTTCCCCCCATGTTTCCTTTCTTCCCCCCTCACCCCTGCCTTTTCTATTTTCATTATACAGATTATGAGGCATTAAATGCCTCTAGTTTGAAATGTAATCAAACACTTTAGTACATCCTGCAGTTTCTAACACAAAAAGGTTCTCCAGGAAAAAAATGCTAAGGAGGCACTTCTCAATGTTTTCTGTGTTTATTTGATTTTTTTTTTTTTTTTTGATTGGGGTGTGTGTTTGTGTGTGCGCTTAGAAGTTTGGAGAGGAGAGTGGAGAAGTTGTACAGAAAATTTGTTTTCAGCAAAGTAAATGGCCAGCCAGGCTACAGGGAAGACTAGATATGGAACACTTTCATTTTTCTCTTCTTCAAATACAGCTGTATTTGTGTTGTACAATCTTGTTTGAAATATCTAATGCCAAAACTACTCTCTTTCCATTCTTCCTTTCTTTTCAATGAGTGCGTATGTTATCTATATGACAGTAACTTGGTTGCAACCACAGTTAACATGAGGAGATTTGCCTTTGTCTAGAAAGCAACATGCCAGGCATTGTCAAAACACAAATGGACCCGAACCATTGCCAGCCACGCAGATTCTGTCATCTTTTGAGTTTTTGAGATCTGGGTGAATATTTACATACCTGTCCTAGCTTTTGTTTGACTTGACCCAAACCCTGTAACCAAGTGCCTGGACAGGTAGTCTAGGTTTGAATCTTTGGGGTCTGCCACATGTCTCTGATTCCAAATGGGATGAGTTCAGGTTGCTGGAAAGTTGAAATGATACCGTCTGTGTTCCCTCTCCACATGTCATCCAGGAAAGCCTCAGGTTATTTTAATATTATTGTCTCTGAGATGGTCTCTGCAGCGTGAAATTTCTTTGAGCAGTCTAGAGGAAAAACATGGAATTGTAAGAATTTATGTCTTTCAAGGAAAAGGTTTGACAAGCTGAGACTGTGATCAGCATAAAATAGATAAGTAACATCTCAGACCAGAAAAATGGCCATTATTTATGCAAGAGAAAAACAGGACCTCCTAAAGAAATGCACTGATTAACTTATTGTCCAGTGGCCACAACACAGCTGTCCTCTACTGCTAAACTGCTGTGTTGTTCCTGTGCTGCTCAACTGTCCCTGAACCCACTTCTCTCTCCTCACTGCCCGAGCATTATTGCTTTCAACCAAAGACAAACCAGGATGAACGGATTAAGTGTGATATTAAACCATTGGTTAGCTGATGACAAAGGTCTGTGTGAGCGTGCGTGTGTGTGAGTGGGCTGCTGTTGCATGGAGAAGCGGGGCATGGGGAAGAAGTGACTGAGCAGGAGAAGGGAGAGTGGGAGTTCAGAAGAAATAAGATTTTTTTTTTTTTTTTTGAGATTCCAAAATACAGAGTGCTGTTTCCATAGGAATGTGATTCGTATCAGTCTGCCTGCTGGTTCCTCAGCCTTGTAGGGAATTTGGGCTGGGGTACATCCCTCTGAGCCGCGTACCCAGGGCTGTGTCAGGGCGGAGAGAGGGCAGCTGGACAGTTACGGGGGGGAATCAGGGATAGAGGTGGGGGTGAGTAGCCAAGGTAGTTCCCACGGCACACGAGGACCACGTGCGTTTCTCGTGCAGCAGGTGAGGTGGCTAGAGGGGCTAGCGGACGGAGGAGCACTTGCTCCACAAACGCATCTCAGCACTTAGCCCCTTCCTCGCAGCGAGGCCGGGAAGGAGCACGTTGAGTTCGTAGGTCCTTGTGCTGGTAACGCGTTGGGGGGGGGGGGGGGGCCAGGCCCTTGCCTCTGTAGACCCATCTCAGCTGACTTCCAGACGTCACGTCCCTCCAGCGGCACGCGAACGTGTCCGTGTGGATTCCCCATCCTGGGAGCCCGCTCCGTGGGACCTGTGACTGCTGAATCACAGAGACAGAGGAAGCCTCTCTAGCTGTAGGGTTACACGGGCTGGCGGCCTGGAGTGACAGCCTCTGAGATGAGAAAGCCCAGCCAGCCTCTTCCTGGCTGGGGCTCCCGTACCTTCCTATCTAAACAGCACAGAGAGAAAGAAGTTCGTTAGCCAAGTCAAAGCTGCTATGTGTGGTTGATTAACACGGCTCTGTTACACACTGAATGGCTGGGCTGCTGTACAGGGGCTGACACTTGCTGTAAATACGCTATAACCTATTAACTTCCTTCACTTGCCTGCTTTCAGTACAACTTTGTAACATGTTTTTTAATTCCCCCTTTCCCTACACAGCCTGTACTGACTGTAACTATGGAACCAGATATTCTGTATGTTATTATCTTTGTACAATTTTAAAACTGTTGCTGTGGTGTCTGCCTTTTTTTTTTCCCTCCCTTCTCTTCTAGTGTCTCTTGAAACACTGTTAATAAAAATCTAGATAAACTCCTTCCCTCCTCCTTCTTTGGCTTGTTTTTTTTTATGCAGGGTTTCTTGCCTTGTTGCCTGTATTAACTGGATCTGGAAAACCACCCCCTTTTAACCTGTTTTCCTTCTCCTCTGCAACCCCCAGCTTGAATTTTATGGCAGTGAATAGACTGGAATGCCACATAAATACTCTGCATTTTTGTTTGGGTTTCTGTGACACTGTCTTGTGATAATGTGATTTCAGGGTGCTTTGGAAGAAGGCTGGGGTAAAGGTGGCAGATTCAGATCACACCCCCCCAACCCACCCATTCATGTTTCTTCAGAGTACCTGAATCAGTTAATGCTTGATATGTTACGAGCTCTGCTGATGGCTATCCTGTAAAAGGAGACCTTGCACTAGATGAAAATACCAATCTGCTGCACATGGACCACCCTTTCCCACATATCACAGTGCAATCCTTCCCCCGTTGGTTTCTCTCATACTGTGTGTCTGTGGCAGAAAAATAAAAGAAGAAGAAGAAAAGAAAGACTGGCCCAGCCTCATGATTTCTATCATACTTAGCTTGGAAAGCAAATGCAGAAAAACAAAATTGTGGAATAACCTCTGTTTTGTCCTGCAGGGACGAACAGGTCCAAATTAATGAATCTGGGTAGGCTGGTGAACTCAGTGAAGGAGTGAAATAGGAAGGATACTTTGAAATCAGGAGCATTACAGTCATTTAAGGCATTTATGGAAGGAGAGCTGCATGGGCTTACAGTAAATTTATAAGCACAGATCTTGGGAGGCACATGGCTTGCTCCCCACCCTGTCACTGACTCCTGCCACCCCTTTATTTTACTACCTTTCTATTTTCTGTCTAAAATTCAGACTGTGGTCTCACCCAGCCTCACAAGGATAAATACACTGAAGTCTGAAATGCAATTACAGAAACCCAGATCTCCAAAAGACTGCCTCTTTCTTCAGTTAATGAGGATTAAATGCTTAAATATCTTCAAAAATCTGGGACTAATACTTTACAATCACAGTAGGATTTTTGTAATTGGAGTTCTATCTATGTGTTGCCATAACATATTTTACCAGTATGCAGGAGGATTAGTGATCTCACTGAACAAGGGTATATTCATGCTTTTACCGACATGGTCAGGCTACTGGCAGGAGGTAATAACAATTCTGTCCCACTACCCAAGTTCCACTTTGATGCCATCCCAGTGCCGAAACTAAGTCAGGATCAAAGAAGAAAAGTAGCAGCTGTTACCTGGTCTCTACACTAGAACTCAGCTAGTTCAGCACTTACCTAGTGCTGCCAGGTATGCTTAACAATTCAACAGCAGGCTCATTCTAAATACACCCGGGAGAGTTGAGTCTTTATTATCCTGGTTTCTATATAGTGTATAAGGGTGGATTTTTTTTTTTTCTTCTCCCAGAAAGGGACTACGTTTTATTTAGGGAAGGTGGGGAGGAGTAGGCGGTGGGGGAGCAGATGGAAATGCTGGGAAGCTGGGGTGCTGCACGCAGAGAAGGAAAGTCAGCGTGGGTCACGGACGGCCTGTCACTGGTGGGAGGGGACAGGCTGCAAGACAAAAGTCACTGTAGCATTGGGATGTTATTTGTATGCACAGGACAGCACTGGCGGGGGAAGTGGAAATGGGCTGAGTCCCACTGGTTAAGGAAGGGCTCAAGTGACTGTAATCAGAAGCTAACAGGTAGGTCAAGCTGGTTTTGTGGCAGGCACAAACCCAAATGTTTCCTGAACATTGCTGTGCCTGAAAATCAACAGGTCCTGATCAAAGCCTGCCTGACAATGAGGCTCATGTTAATAAGCCTTTGCCACCTGCCTGTAGATAATGCTGAAGACTATTATTCTCAAGTCTTTTTGGGCTGGACACTCTTCATGTGCCGAAAAGAGACACTTCTCGCGTCCCAGTGTGCTCACCCGTGAGCTGGGGTGGAAGGGGACACCGTGTTCACAGAGGGACCCGTCCTGCGAGCTTGCATGGAGGGAGCAGCTGGAGGAATGCTTCTTGGAGATGCCTCCGGGGCAGGGAGCGCTGCCAGGCCGGCCAGGGCAGCCTCTGAGCCTCCTCAGTCCACTCGCAGCCAGCTGGACACACTCACCCTCAAACCCTTCTCTTCAGCTGAGTTTGTGAAGCAAGATGAAGTTGTGCTGGATCCTGCTATCAACTTGGCTTTGTGGAACCGAGATTCTGTATTACCTTTTCTCTTCCCTCAGCACCGCACCACTATTGACAGAGGATGTGCCTCGGAGCTATGCAGCTCATAGCAGCTGTGGCTCTACCCTCTCAGTGCCTCTCCAGGACACGTCTTCTGTCAAACAAAGGGCACAGGAGCTCTGGATGAAAGACTAAAGGGAGCTGCACCTCTGTAGGTGAATACCTGGGATCTTTCACTTATCTTTTCCCCTGTGGCTACATGGGTTCATCATCAGGTAAAAATGAGCTCACTAGCCCAATCCGTGGCAAAAATTGCCCTAGAACGTCAAGCAGCAAACATGCAAGCAGAGATATCATTAATGGGATGCGGGTGCCTAATTATCTCTGGAATTGCAGCATAAAACTGAAACCGTTCCTGCATCAAGGGAGATTCTATCATAGAACCACTGCTGGGACAGCTGAACTCTTTGCCTTCATCAGTAGTTTGAACAGGGCCTTGAGTCAGCTGTCATGGAGAATTGTTATTATCTGATAGTGCCCTTCAACAGGTTGTTGTTTTATTCCAGTACAGGTGGACTGATATTGTACCTGCTCTGAAGTCTGGCTGCTAGAAGAGAAGCCAGACAACTAGTAAATCATCTTATCTCTGTTCCTGGCTGAACAGTGTTCCCAGCAAACTAATATCAAACCCTGTGTTCTCGAATGCATGAAGCTCTGCTGCTGCACAAGTGGCACAACAAAAGACCTTTGCATTTCAGAGCACTCAGCTTCCACAGTAGCTCTGTCCTTCAAGTCTTAAAAGTCTCTCTACTGTCTCTTGGGCTTTGGAAAAAAGTACCAGTAATATAAAGAGGGAGGAATTATCTCAAATATGATTATGGAGCAAGAGTCCTGAGAGCATATTTACATATGCAAGCTCATGAATAATCCTGTTCCTATTAACAAAGAATGGAAAGCCAAAACAGAACCTTCTGAGGAAGTGCAAGGCTCACAAGCTGGGCTCTGTCTCTGTATCACAAGTAGAGCTGTTTCTTACATCCAGATGCAAGTTGTGAGTTCCAAGTGAAAATGGCCCGGTGCACCATGATTTCCATGGGTGGGAAGTAACAAAGCAAAGGCAGAGTAAAAATATTGGGACTAATGACTCTTCCTGTGTATTTTTGCAGGAGATGCTACCTACCTGGACATCTTCCGGGAGTTCTCTCACATGGCTTCGAACAACCCAGAGAAACTCAAAAGGAGGAGCCTACACTTCAGCCACTCCTGCAGATAGCCCCCTCCCTCCCTCTGCCAAGACCTTCTGCTGGAAGGTTCTGCTCGGAGCTGCCTCAGCTCTGTGACCGCAGAACGGCACAAACAGGCACCCTGAGCTCAGCTACTGAAGAAAGATGTTCTCTGTTCAGACATGCTTCTACTAGAAACCTGTGTTTTCCCTGGTGTCTGCTCTTGAGCCCTGACCAGGAAGGTGACAGGGGTAATTCCAGAATAGGTACATATTCAGGCTGTAGGCTTAGGTCCCACGCCTTGCAGTACCTCAATGCAGTTTATAATGAATTAAGCTGATCTTTTAGCTCTCAATGCCATTTCTACCTTGTTACTTCTGGGAAAATCTCCCCTTTCTGGGTGTATGCAAACACTATGATACTGCAACAGTGCCTGCCCCTAAAATGAAGTGCAGGTAAGTGGTCCTGACCATCGAATAAGCCAGGAGGAGACGAGGAAGCGCTCCGAAAACTGAAGAAAGGTGAATGTCGCAGAGTTTTAGTGGCGGCGGCGCCGGAGGCGGGTGGCTCACTCAGTCCCAGACAGCACTGGCCACCAGCCGCGCTCTGAGCTGTTGCCCGCTTCCCGCAGCAGCGGCGGGATGCGAATCCCCGTGGCACGAGGCCCTGCAGACGCCGACCCCCCGTCCACAGCACCCGGCTACCACTAAGCCCCAGGGGTCCCAGTCCCCACCAGCCCCCTGCAAAACACTTGGCAAAACACTTCGTTTTGCTGCGTAACCCACCTCTTAAGATACGCCCACCACTGAGTGCTTTGAGACATTTAGTTTAACATGGATCAGGGAATAAAACACCGATTCCATGGGAGACTTTACAAGCAATACCGAAACCAGAATCTAGCTCTTTCCCTCAGGGTCTCTCTATCTCCTGCTAGTTGTGCATCTCACTGTTAGGAGAGTTGTACTCTTCTGTAAGGCACGGCTTTCAGTATTATTTTTGTAATTTTTATTGTTATATGTCATAGTTATCAAAAATAATAAAGGGTTATGTGTGGACTATACAGGTATAGGCACCATGACATAATAAAGTGCATCGTCAGAATGATATATATGAACTATGACATGCTGAAATGTAATATATCTTACGGCAGAAGAAATGTATTTTTTTGAAAAGGTGGGAGTGAAAAAATCTCACATGCAAACATTATCTATGAACTGAGAATAAAGACAGGATTTTTTTTTTAAATTCACACATATTTCCTCATTCTTTCTGATTCTAGATCTTTAAAAGTCACTTTAGGATGAGAAGCTTTAAAGTATGAAATTTATTTGACACAGATTTATGGCTTGAAAAGAGGAAGCGAAATGAACTTTTCTCCAAAGAGACACAGGATTCTAGCTCTCTTGGTAGCCCTTCTGTTTTATCTGATTAAGTCATGCTCTGATTTCATTAATGCTATTAATTAAACACATTAGCAATATGGCAGCTTAATAGACACACAGCACAACACTAGCAATGTGGCAGCCTAATAGACATGTCAGCCCTTCTGACAAGGTGTTTCTCCTAAGAGACAAGCCTCTGAGCATCTCCCTAACTGGGCGACAGAGTGCAGCTTCCACAAGCTGTCACAGCTTCTGGGACCCAAGGGGAGATGCCACTGAGTGAGCACGGAGCTGCACGGTGGGACATGCAGGCAGTGAAAGGGCTGGGCTCCCCTGCCCTTGCCCAGTCAAGGGCTTCAGGATGATGGGCTTGCAGGAAAGCAGCTGCTTCTTGGACTGCTGGCAGCCTTCTGGTCACATTTGCAGAAGAGCTTGCCCTGCAGCTTGCGGCAGGAAAGGCGCTTGAAACAACCAGCTTCAGTGGAAGGTGTCCCTGCCTGGGCAGGGGGGTTGGAACTAGGTGATCATTAAGGTCCCTTCCAACGCAAACCAGTCTGTGATTCTGTGATTTCCTTCTGCCTAGCTTTAATTTCTATCAGAGTGACAGCCATCATAGAAGCTTTCCATTGAGGAGGAACAATAGTCTGGCAGCTAGAGGAGGGTGCTGGGACTCTGGATTTAAACCTTTCTGTGGCACTGCTGTGTGATTCTGAGGATACCAGTGTCTCCCATTTGTGCCTCAGTTT